TTTTTAAATTTTAAAAATTTTACTATACGTCTCAAGCATTTTACATTTTATTCTATAATCTTTGTAGATAATGCTTTATTAGATATATAATATTCCATTAATGGATCTACCTCCGTTTACTTTGTCATTCCATTTTTTTTCATTTGGTCAAAACTTTAAACAATATTTTTTGCTGTTATCAGTTTTTGTATAACAATTTTTTCTCTATTTAAGATTATATCCTAGGATGTATTTCCAGTGGATTTAATAGGTTGAAGGTTTGAACATTTGAAAAATCTGAATGCATTTTGCCAATTTGCTTTCCAAATGGGTTAGAACAATGCATGTTGCATGATTATGTTGGTTTCATGTTCTTTTCCCTTGCCTTGGTCACCATCATTTTGAAATACTTTTACTAATTTAGTAATCAAAAATACTTTCTTTTCATTTGTATTTCTTTGATTACTAGTGAGGCTGAACATTTCTTTTCATATTATTGTATACTAGTTACATTACTTTTCTTCCTTATTTTTGGTTACATATTCTTTGTCCTTAGGTGTTTTTCATATCATTAAAATTATTGGCTGGGCACGGTGGCTCATGCCTTTAATCCTAGCACTCCGGGAGGCCAAGGCAGGAGGATCGTTTGAGCTCAGGAGTTGGAGACCAGCCTGAGCAAGAGCGAGACCCCTTCTCTACTAAAAAAATAGAAAGAAATTAGCTGGACAACCAAAAACATATAGAAAAAATTAGCCGGGCATGGTGGTGCATGCCTGTAGTCCCAGCTACTTGGGAGGCTGAGGCAGGAGAATTGCTTGAGCCCAGGAGTTTGAGGTTGCTGTGAGCTAGGCTGATGCCACAGCACTCTACCCCAGACAAGAGGGTCTGTCTCAAAAAAAAAAATTAAAATTATTTTTTTCAAGTTATAAAAGTAATATATGCTTGTGATAACAAGAGAAACAATTCAGGACAAAGATATATAAAGTAAAAACTCTCCTGGTTCATCCCTCTTCCAATGTCTCCCAGAGGCTCGGAAGGGAAGGGGGGAAGGGGAGATGAAAAGTTGGTTAATGGGAACAAAAATACAGAAGATAGAAGGAATATCTTCTATCTATATTCCTTCTAGATAGAAGGAATACCTTCTAGTATTTGATGGTACAGTAAGGAAATGATAGTTAATAATTTATTCTATATTTCAAAATAGCTAGAAGAGAAGAATTGTAATGTTCCCAGCACAAAGAAAAGATAAATGTTTGAGGTGATGGATATCCCAGTTACACTGATTTGATCATTACACATCGTATACAGGTATCAAAATATGACATGTACCCCCAAAGTAAGTACAACCATGATATATCAATAAAAATACAAAAAAACCTCCACCATTAAATAAAGGGTAATGGGGCAATTGGTTAGTAAGTTCAAAGAGAAAAATAATCAGTTTGGCTCCTCATTTCCTCCTCACCCTACACCAAAATAAACTATAGTTGGACTAAATAACATTTTTAAAAAGTTAATAATTTTTTTAAACCAGCAGAAAACAGAGCTCAGTATTTATTAAACCCTTTGAAAAATCAGAGCAGGCTATCTTATCATTGGAAGAAATTAGAGGAACATTTGCCCAGTCAACATTGCCAAACTATGTCAAATAGGCAGCGATATATTAGGGAAATATTTGTAGCAAATGTGCCAAAGGTATTTTATGATATATTATTAAAGATCTTATGTCCATGATATATATTTTAAGTGAAAAAAAAGCAAGTTATAGAATGATAAATATACTCTATTTTGGTAACGAAACCAAGCCCCCTTTGTATCTTTAAAAGGAAATATATCTGTATGCACAAACAAGGAGAAAGGTAGCAAGATATACCTGGGCCTTTAACACTGGCTCCCTGTTAAATAATCTTAACATACTAATTTCAAATCTTCACATTATATTTTTGCACAAGTTAAATCATTATGTGCCTTAAAAATGACAACTTTCTCATAACAGCTTGTGCCAGTGCTGTGTATTACAGAATTTCACTAAACTATTAGGTTACATTGCTCTGGAGGTCAGTGCATCACTTTATATGGTATCTTGTATCTAAGTGCTTTTATGTTTTTCTTTTATGGCTTTCAGAGTGAGTCAAAACTTGGAAAGATAATTTTAAATTGTTTTTAAAACTTTGCAGTTGAGTAAAATTAGTCCTGGAATAATAAGTACCCATCAGCCTAATTAATTTTCTTTTTAATTATTAAGGTAATTTGCAGGAGGTTGAGTGGTCTAAGTGCTGACTCAATGTTTTTAGTTTTGTCTGTGGGACACCTACCTACATTAGAATCCCTTGGAAGTTTATTAAAATGAAGATTCCTGGGTCCCACCTTCCATCATCCTGAATCAGAATTTGAGGGAAAACTTAGGAATTTGTACTTTAAATAAGCCCTCCAGGTAATTCCTATGCACTTTCAAGTTTAAGAACTTTAGATCATACAACTTGTACATGCTGGATGATAACTGGATCTAGTTCTGGTTTTGACAGATTAGTTGCTGCCATTTTATTTCAACCTCATTGTGCTTCAACTTCCAATCTATAAAGGTTTGATGTTTACTTGAACTTTAGCTGGTACTTTGAACATTTATAAAGTATCTTACAAACCAACAGTTTACACAAGTGCCCACTCTACAACAGCTAGTATATCCTTGGGAAGACAAAAACCCCTCTGGGCCTTTTTCTGGATTTGCACAATAAAAGAGGTTGGATTAGGATTTATCTATAGGGTCTTTTCCAGATCTGACATGCTAGAACTCTGTGAAAATGAAAGTTGTTTAGAAATTATCAATTTCAAATTTTTCCTTCCCATCAGCACAATTCATAGCAAAGGTGTACTGAGTACACATAATTGTAGCATCTAAATAGGAAAGTAAGTTCAAAATATTGCATAAAGCTTGAGCTCTAATAAAACTAACAAATGCTTGAAACAGTACTATATACTGATAGTTCTAAAACTTATGTGCACATTAAAATCTCTTGGGGAGCTTTTAACTATTCTGATGCCCAGGCTGCACCCCAGAGAATTAGGGGTTAGTCTTAGGTATAGTAATTTTTGAAACTTCCCAGGTGATGCCAATATGAAGCCAAGTTTGAGAACCATTGCTATATAGTACTGTTTCAAACATTTAATATTATTAGACTTTTTCAATTACTTATACTTGAGTGCCTTAATAAAGGTACTTATTACCTTTAAAATCTGCATTTTAACTGTAACAATAAAATCTGTATTTTAATGTTACCTTCAAAAGTTATATTGAATATACCCACTTCTCTCAATCTCATTTGTCACCTACCTAATCCCCTTGCTTTCCCTTTTGCCTCTTGCATTAGTAGGATACAGGTTAGATTTCTGTTCAGAGACTCAAAATAATGGTGGCTTAAACAAGATAGAAGTTTTTTTCTCATGTAACAGCCAAAAGAGGTAAGCGGTATAAAGCTGGTATGGCAGCTCCACAATGACAGGAACCTAAGTTCCTACCAGCTGGTTGCCCTGCCATCGGTAGGGTGTTGCTCTTCTCTGCATCATCCAAGATGTCTCACCACCATGCTCATATTATAGCCAGCAGAATGGGGAGGGGAAGGAAAGAGAGCATTCCCTCTTTTTAAAAAATTATAATTATTATTTTTAAATTTTTTCCATTTCAGCATATTATGGGGGTACAAATGTTTAGGTTACATATATTCCCTTTGCCCCATCTGAGTCAGAACTTCAAGCATGTCCATCCCCCAGATGGCGTGCACTGTACCCATTAGGTGTCCTTTGAGGGAATGGTTCTGAAATTGTATGTATCACTTATGCTCACTTCCATTGGTGAGAACTGAGTACAAAGCCATACCTAGCCACAAAGGAAGTAGGGGAAAGTATTCTTTATTTTAGGTCGTCATGTACTCAGCTAAAAATTGGGAGATTTATTGCTACAGAAGAAGAGAACAGGTATTGGAGTTCAACTAGCATAATCTGCCAACCTCCTTGTAATCCATTCTCCTTCCAGCAGACAGTGATCATTCTAAAACATGATAGTGGCCACAAACCATTGAATGGCTTCCCAGTGCTTTAAAGATACAAACTAAAGTCTTTACATGGCCTATAAGATTCTGTATAGTCTTGCAAGAATCCTTATCTATTTGCCTGTCTCATGTTGTATCCCACTTTCTACACTCCAGACCTTATTTAATTCCTCAAACATACCTTCTGCTGCTTGAAGTCCTTTATACTTCAAGTTCACTTCCTCAGGGAAAACTTTCCTAGTGCTTCTTCTTCATTAAAAAGCTCTAATATAAACCACACACCTTTCCTTTATCACATTTATCTCACATGTTTGTGCAATTTATTTGAATGTCTTTCTCTTCTACAACATTTGTAAGTTCCATGAGAGTAGGGACCATGTCTGTTTTTGCTTGTATTGTATTGTGTTCTTAGTGCTAAGCCAGTGCTTGGCACAGAGTGGACACTCCAATATTTAGATACATGCAATAATAATTTGGTTCATTATTTTATGAGCCTCATGGTTTAGAGTTTATCTCACAGTGAAATTTATTATTATTCAAATCTTTTACTTTGTGCTCAAATTACAGTTTAAAGAAACAGACTTTAGCATATAAGCTTAACCTTATAATTTAATTGTCTTGACTATTTTATATTGTCATTTCGTTTTTTTTCTCTTTCAGTTCATCCATTTACAAAATAGATACTAAAACCTTGTTAGGGGCACCTTCTAGATCTTAAGCTACTAGAAGTCAGATACAATAACCTCAGAATAGCATCAGAGGCACTTGAGTTGCTTTAAAAAAAGCTGCTTGATTTTCACTGAAAGTGTGCATATCATTTTAAAAACAGCGAATATATTTCAGATTTGTTTTGACAACAGTCTTTAAACTCATATGAAAGGATCATCTTTCATATTAGCAAGTATATAATAGGCCAAAAATGGGGAGGAACACATTAAATACACTCAAAATGAGACAGGAGACCAAAAAAGTTGCTGTATTTTAACTTCTTTAATAATACACTTAAAACTGTAACACAACAAGAATCCACTATTTTAATTAACATTTAAACACAATTATAAAGAATAAAAGACCGAACACATTTATGAACAAACTGCATTATGTCTTTAGGTTTGTAGGCTGCCCAACACATTTAAAATGTATAGCAAATGAAGTCACAGTACTATAGGGCTACAAGAAAATCTCACAAGTTAATAGCTTAACTAGAATTAGATTTATCTTGATACAGAATAATCTTTAAATTCATTTGATGGTCATTTTGGCTCATCTAAAAAACCACACAGATGTCAATCACAGAGACTTACAAATACAGAGTGGCCATTTCATTTAAAATGAAGTATTATAGACAACCAGAATAAAATCAATTCCCTTAGTTTCTGTTTTTCACTTTCCATACGAGCATTTGAAATGTTAATATGAGATAAAAATTTCACATTACATATATTGAAGCTACAAACAAATACAGCAAGAATACAGACATACTGCAGCCTCTGGCTTTAACATCTCAACACACTGGTCAAAATATTGAGAAATTCAAGGCATACAAAGTCACGATATGGGGTGGATAAACCTTACAACAATTTAATTCAGCACATTCATTTTACAACTGGCTAAACAAAAGACCAGGGACAACTGGACCATAACAATCCATGTGTGCTTTTGCAAATGCTAGAAACTACCTTGGTTGTGAGAAATGCAGGTTGATCACTTTAGGAGAATTTAATCTTCAGATTGGCAATTTATAATTTCTCCTTACATGTGAATAACACTGGAAGGATGTTAAATCTCCAAGAAAAGTTACTCTTATAAGTTAGGATGCCTTATACTGAGGCTTTAGAATAAAAGTACACTTCACGAATAGAACACTGAACATAAATTATTGTTATAAGTCAGGATAAGAGTCATACAGAAGTAAGGTAGATTTCCCGATACACAGAAATTACTTTGATGACCTTGTTTTCAATCATGAATCTAAAATGAAGTACGTTACCTCCAAATACAAGATGAACATAAAACCACTTAACTTTAGAACTCACGTAATATTTTTGCTGAAAACGGTTACTGAATTACCAACAATGTGATAGAATATCTTTAAAGTAGTGCCTTCTTTATAATCTGTAATAATTTCATTTTTTAATTTTTAAGAAGTATTCTTTGGACTATAAATTTTCTGCAAATACACTTCCACTTTATTGTTACCCAAATTACAGATATCCAAGATACCGATGATATGGACTCTATCCAGTTCAGTTGCTGCTTTTATAATATCACCTAAAAGTAAAAAGCAGATGGTAAGTACTGTAAAATAGTTAAATATTTACTTGGATTTAGTATCATATAAGCTGATGATTTTTTTCTGACAATATTAACACTGTTCTTCATTTTCTCCCTCTTCCTTCCAATTTATCACATGCATTTACCAAAGTTATGATATAGTAACTTCTGCAGATTAAAAGTTGAACACATCAAACAGATGGACCAATAATGTCAAGATATAGATTGATACTTCAAAGCCATATTTAGTTTTTGGGTTTTTTGTTTTGTTTTGTTTTTGGTGGAGAAAAGTATATCTACATATCTTCAAGGTCACTTAGAAGGTTCCAAATAAACAATTTACACTTCAAAGAAATGCAAAGATAAATTTTATTTTGAAATTCAATCATCAATTTTTCATGAAATCTACAAGCCAGAAAGCAAAGCAATATATAAATACCTTATATATTTTAATTAAATATGTGTGTATATGTGTGTATGTGCATATATTTAATTGAAGCTTCTTTTAAAGTGTATTTCCTCTGAAGCAATTTTATTAACTAAAATTTAGCTTTGGATACTCTCAATAAGCTCTATCAAAAATGGATCAGGTAAGTGACATCACTGAAAATAGCAGAGTAGGGAACTTTAGGGTTCTGTCCCTCTTCAAAGCATCTTTTAAGCTGGTAAACTTATAAGCTTATAAACTCTCAGAATCAACTTTTGCAGAACTCTGGAATCTAGACCAAAACTTAGAACAACCAGGGAAAAATTAATAGAGAAAGAAACTGCTGCACTGTGGGAAGAGTGTGCTGTGGTGTTTTATAGCCCCTCACTCCCCAGATAAGTGACAGCCATGAATATGGCAGCTTGCACTCTTGGTGCAGGTTGATAGTACCAAAGGCAGCAATGCAGACCTTATTTTCAAAGATGTGGTTGTATTTTTAGTTTTTAAGAGATGGTGTCTCCTCTGTTGTCCAGGCTGAGTGCAGTGGGGTGATAATAGCTCAAAGCAGCCTCAAACTCCTGGGCTCCGGTAATCTTCCAGCCTAAGCCTCCACAATAGCTGGGACTACAGGCATGCGCCACCACACCCAACTAGTTTTTTCTTATGTTTTTTAGAGATGAGATCTCACTATGTTGCCCAGGATGGTCTCAAACTCATGGCCTCAAATGATCCTCCCACCTCAGCCTCCCAAGTGTTCTGATTATAGGCATGAGCCGCTGTACCCAGCTAGAAGATATGGTTGTGTGTTTGACCTGTCCACCAGCTCTCTCAAGGACAGATGCAAGAGTCTGCTTTTGTTTCACCCAGTTTGGAGCATTCCCACAGCTGGGGTGGCTTTCCTGGTGGCAATTTAGTTGAAAGCATATAAAAAAAGCAAAAGTATTGGCCAGGGCATCTGGGTAGTCTATAAAGCTGAGACAAGCAATAGACAGAACAAAAAAGCCTAGATAGGAAAACAACAGGAAAAGAGATATATCGGAGAATAAGGGCTTTTTAAAAGCTCTTGTGTACACTGGGAAATCAAGAAGGCCATATGCATACCCAGGTCTGGACAAATATTCAGAAAAGGCCTGAGAAGACTCTGATCATTCACCTCTGGCTGACCTTTAGGGTCTGAGCAACCAGGAAGTGAAGGCTAAGGAAGAGTTGTAAATGTCCTGGCTAAATGTTGAAGGAGTGCCACCACACAGGGCTAATCTGCAAAAATTGGGAGAGTATGTTTTTTTCTTTTCCCATTTCTTGGCTCCAATGTTTGAGGAAACTGTCAAAACACTAGCTGACCGCCACTAAGCTAATGGATCACAGACTTCAGTGGCTATACACAAAAAGATTTTATTTTAAATAGGAAAATATTAAACCGCTTAGAGGTTAAGTAACAAGCAAGTCACATGGTGATTCTAATCTAGATGATCTTGTTCCAAGGCATATTTTAACCTTTTATGCTAGAGCTCCATCCCTACAAAACTGTGCTAAAATCCAAGAGGGGATCTAAGTTTTGTGGGGCCTGAAGGGTATATTATTTAGGAGCCCCATTTCATGAAAAAATACAAAATATACAAGAATATCAAAAGGGCCTTAAAAGGGACCGATGCAAGCTTAAAGTTTCATTAGCATCACAGTAAATCCACCTCTGCTAGACACATTAAAAATCTAAACAATGATCTAAAATTATACAAATTCACTAAAGCACAATGAATATTATAACAACTGCTAGTACCATATAATTTTATTTTTCTTTGAGTGGGATGGGCTTTAATCCAGATGCTTTGGAATGATTTCAAGATCTTTAGATTTAATGCCAACAGCAACCACCTAAACCTCAATAATTCTAATTGCTATCATATATTGACTTTTACAAATAATGATTTAACTACTACCCAAAACATAAAATATAGGTTAGTCTTCTATTTAGGTGATTCTGCCTAGTTGTGTAAAACTTTGAAATGACAATCTCTCTATGCTTCAATTTGTTTAGCTAGTACCTATATCATAAGAATGTTTTGAGGATTAAAAATATGTAAATCATTAAGAATGGTAGCTGACACATAGCAAGCACTCAATTAAATATTAACAATGATTATTTTCACTTAAAAACTTATGAAATTAGGCTATGATTATTATTGCTATCATAATTATTCTTTTAAAATAACTACAGATTTTATTGATAAAATGAGGTTCTCTACATTTCATTTTAAATTGTTAGAATTACAAGAATGGCACATTTTTAGGAACATCACAGATGCATAGGGTAAGTGTGACAAAGGCAATGCTATATGTTCTCTACTCTGTTTTCTCTTCTTGGTCACAGGGGAAAACAAAGTATCCTGGACTTCCTTGTAGCTAGGTTAGGATCATGTAACTAAGTTCTGGCAAATGAGAATGTGAGTGGAAGTGATGTCACTTCTGCTCCTATGTAATTAAAAGCCAGAAGTGACGTCACTCTTCTCCAATGTAATTAAAAGCCAGTGTCTCCTCCATCTTTCTTCCTCTGCCTTGACAACCTAGAAGCCATTTGTTTCTACTGGGGCAGCAACAAGATGGAAGTAGGCTGGATTCCTGAATCACTGCTGGGAAGAGAACTGATGAATGATTGCATTAGACTCGAGCAAGAAATAAACTTTTATTAAGTCATTGTGACTTTAGAGTTGCTTTGTAAGTGCAGCATAGACCAACCTATTTTGTAAAACAGTGTGGTATTCCTGTCTCTGAAAATAATATGGGAAACTCTGACTACCTAGAGAATAATAAAATTATTTTCTTAAATGTGTTAAAACTCTTCCACATTATGCTATACTTCTGAGATATGTATCAATGGTAATGTTTTCAAGGAGTTGGAAGAAATAGATATCCTTGTGTTTAATAAGTAAACATGATACCAAGTAGGACATGATATCAGTAAGTATTATTCAATAAATGATTTGGGGTAAATGGCTAATCATTTGGAAAAAATATATAAAATATAAAGTTATCTTACTTTCTACACAAAAAATACAAATGGATAAAAATTTTAAGTAGGAAAATGAATCCATATCAACACCAAAGTACCCCCAAAATCTTAGGCCGGGTGTGGTGGCTCACACTTGTAATACTAGCATTTTTTGGAGGCCAACATGGGAGAATCACTTGAGGCTAAGAGTTAGACACCAGCCTGTGCAACAAAGTAAGACCCCATCTCTACAAAAAACAAAGAAACTAGGTAGGTGTAGTTGTGTGCACCTATAGTCCTAGCTGCTCAGGAGGCTGAGGAAGGAGGATGACTGGAGCCTAGGAATTTGAGGCTGCAGTGAGCTATGATGGTGCCACTGCTCCTAGCCTGGGCCACAGCCAGATGCCGCTGTCTCAAAAAACAAAACAAAACAAAACAACCCTCCCCTCCGCAAACTCAAATCTAATTAAAAAATGGGCAAAGGACTTCAACAGGCATTTTTCCAAAGAAAATATACAAAGAGAAAACAAACACATGAAAAGATGTTCAACATCATCAGAAATTAGGGAAATGTAAATCAAAACCACATTATATCCATTAGGATGGCTGTTATAAAAACCACCAGAAAAAAGTGTTGGTGAGGATGTGGAAAAACTGGAATTCTCATGCATTGCTGGTAGAAATGTAAAAAAAAAAAAAAAGTTAAAAAAATAGTGCAACTGCTGTGGAAAAGTTTGTGATTTCCTCAAAAAGTTAAACACAGAATTACCATATGATCCAGCAATTCCACTCCTAGGTATGTATCAAAAGAAGTGAAAGCAGGGACTAAAAGTAGATACCTATACACCAATGTTCATAGCAGAATTATTGACAATAGTTAAAACATGGAAACAACCCAGATGTCCATTAACAGATGAATCGATAAACAAAATGTGGCATATATACACAATGGCATATTATTCAGTAATAAAAAGGAATGAAATTCTGATTATATTACAACATGGATGAACCTTGAAAATGTTATGCTAAGTGAAATAAGCCAGACATAAAAGGACAAATAGTGTATTATTCCATTTGCATGAAATACTAAGATAGGCCAATTCATAGAGACTGAAAATGGAACAGCCATTACCAGGGGGTGGGGAGAGGGGGAAGGGGGAGTTACTGTTTAATGGGTACAGAGTTTCTGTTTGAGATTATGCAAACTCTCTGAAAATGGATAGTGGTGATGGTTGCACAACATTGTGAGTGTACTTAATGTCACTGAATGGTACACTTAAAAATGGTTAAAATAGTAAATTTTGTTATATATATTTTATCACAATAAAAATATGAGTAAATGTAATGAAGCTATAAAAGTACCAGAAAAAGACATAGAGAATTTAAAAAAGTACTTTTGAATTGAGTGATGCCTTTCTGAGTATGACATAAAACTAGCAGCCACAAAATAAAAAGCTGATATATTTGAGTATATACAAATAAAATTACTTATTAACAAAATACTAAAACAAACCTCCCATTGAATAAATGTCAAACTGGGTAAAAGTATTTGTAACACCTGATGAAGGGTTAATTTCTTTAATATCCGTAGAGAACTTACAAATTAATAAGAAAAAAAAGACACTAAGAGGAAAGTGGAAAAAATAAAACTAGCATAGAAAGTTCTAGAAAGTTACAGAAGGAAAAAATATAAATGGCCAATAAACATATGAAGATTTGCAATCTCAGAAACAATTAAGAAATGTAAATCAAAATAATGAAATATTGCTTTTTGCCTATCAGTCTGCAAAGATTAATAAGACCAATAATACTTAGTGTTTACTAGGGTGTGAGTAAAGTGGTACTCTTGCTTTTGGTTCAAGTGTGAATTAAGTATAACCTTTTTGGAGAACAATTGGACATTATTTACCAAAATTTTAAATGTACATGCATTTTGAGTCAGTGACTTATCTTCTAGGAATTCATCTTACAGATAAATTTGTAGAAATGTACATAGATTTTATATATATATACATATACATAAGTATATTCACTGCAGTACTGTTTGCTAATAGGAAAAACAACTGAAAACAATCTAAATGTCCATCAGTAGAGGATGGGTTAAATAAATTTTGGTACATTCACCCAGTGAAATAGTTTGTAGTTATTAAAAAGAATGAGGTAGCTCTCTATATACTAATATGAAATATATCCAAGATATACTGTCAAAGGGAAAATGCTGGTTATGGAATCATATGTTTCTCAATCCCATCTGTATGTTACAGAGAGAGAGAGAATGAATGAATGAATATATACTGTTATATGCAAAAGTAATTCCTCAAAGGATTCAAAGAATACTGGTTATTTCCAAAAAGTAGGTGAGTGGGATGTTGGAATGGACTGGGTCTGGGAAAGCAAAGAGGGGAACTTTCACTTTTACCTGGTACCTTTCTGTACTGTTTGAATTTTTAAATTATTAACATGTATAGTTTTTTGTAATAAAAAAGAAGCTAGTTTATAAAAAATATATGAAAGATGACACTAGTGTTCTATGAACCACTGCATTATATCTCTATATAACTATTTTTATCTTTCAATTTAGAATCATGAGAGAGATGGGAAAATGTGGAATCAGATCTGGTTTCAAATTCTAGCTGTGTTATTTATGCTAGTGAATCTCTCTGATTTTCAGTCTAGTTATCGATAAATAGGGGATAATAATCACCTTGCAAGGTTTCTATTAGGATTAGTTGTAACTTATGTAAAATGGACAGGCACAGAGTTAAATGGATACTATTATTATTATGAATGCTATGTCATGAAAAACATGGTATTCCATTCAAAATTAATCACTTTGCCTTTGATTACCAATTGATTTTTCTTCCCTAGTGATTCTTGTCTTTCATGTCCCAAATAGGGACTTGTCTTTCATGTCTCAAACTTCTCTGACAGAATGATACCAGTTATTTTTCATGTGACCATGTCAGTGACTACTGGAAGAATATTGGCACTAGTAACAAGCAGATAGCTGAGAACTCTGACCTGATAGTTTATATCAATAATAGCATATATATATAGCATAAGACATGTGACAGAAGTGGATATCATATGAAATAAGAGCATATATGAGTACACAAATATTTAAACAATATGCTAGAGCACTAATTAAGAAATTTGAAATTACCAAAAGTCTAAGGAGCTGCAATGTAGGAAGTAATACTGCAAGTCAACTAATATATCATTTCTATAATGGACTGTGGGAAAAATTTAAAATCCTCACCTCTTATAAAATTAGATTCTCAAGTTCAGTCTGCAGCAACCATTACTGGCAAAAGTTACTTTATCATCGGGCATAGCTTGTAACACTCATTTAAAAACAACATACACTCAAGGGTTTCATCAGCTTAGAAAGACCTACCACAAAATCCCAAGATAATAAAGCCTTTCTTAACAGCTCTTTTAAAATTTAATATCCTGATAAGCTCAATGAAAATTGCTAGAAACTTTACCACATGCTTAGGAATTAGAAATAACAACAGAAAGTGAATAGGATAATTACAATTGGACACATAATTTTATAGGTATGCAGAAATAACTTAAAGTTAAGTATATTATGCAACAGCCTAAACAATTTAGTTGGTTGAAGAGTTTCACTATGGGGATTACATACACTCCTAGCAGTCCTAAAGGAATTTATTTCATAGGACTTGAATAACTAAACATTTATATAAGAGAAAATAATTGCACTGGAGGTATGATTTCAGGCAATTATAAGGTGAAATGACAAATTGTCTTGTCTGAGTTAAAAGGAGAAAAGAGTAGAATCTGTACTGTTCCATGTGCATACCACTTAGGTCTGATGAAATAATTACATTTGGAATTGTATTATAAGAGAATATTCTTAATAGCTGTATGGAATAGAAACAAGTTATTCAATTTATTTAAAAGTCTTGGGGTTCATTTACCAAATAACCCTTGAATTAAAACTACATTAAATTTTAAGGCTAGAACTATTTACATAATAAAATCTTAAGGTTAGGACTGCTTATAATATTACTTTTTTCTGAGTGAAAAGAATACTGAGCTTGTCTTACCGGCAAGTGCTCTTGGACCTTGGATTCGGTCATTGCCAGTTAATTCCTGTGGATATACACAGCTGTAATTCATGCTGGTTAACAATGTGTCTATTTGAGATGTTCGGACATCTTCTGGACAATACATGGGTAGGAATGCGACATCAATTGCTATCTCATGGTTCAGACCTATTAGAGAAAAATCACACGTTATTGAAAGTTCCGTGGGTTACCATATAGTCCTAATGAAGCCGAATTTGCTGGTTTGATCCTAACATGTGCAAACAGCTTCAGACCTGGGGAAAAAAAAAACCTGTGTTTCAAAACTGGGGACTATACCCTTAGCTCTGCAAACAATTTATAAATACATGCTCTTGGCTGAAAGACTAGACACTTGAGTGCAACCTATCACCATTGCTGGAAATAACAATTCAAAAGGTTTTCCCCACTGATGGAAGATTGAAATCTTATTTTTCAGAGGATAGCCTGGTCACATAAGTGAAGACATACAGAGTGTTTCCTTAGTCATTCATGCCACTACAGGATAGGAGAATTCAGAGATGACTATTGGTTCCCTTATTGCTCTTTGGACTTAAGGATATCTGACTCAAGTAAGACCAGGGATGGTAGTAAACTAGGTCCCATCTGTCCTTAAATATACAAGCCAAGCTTCACACACTCACCATTAGGGCTATAAAATGTTGCAGTAGAGAAAGGGCTAAGGGGGAACAACCAAAGTGAATCCTGACCTATGATTGTCATCTCTTTATTTGGGTCAATGTCAAGGTGGATAAAAAAGACTTCCTAGAGGAAGACAAGGGTTTGAGCTGGGTACTAAAGAAGAAGTAGCATTTAAATAAACAGAGAGGAGGGCATTTCAGGCACGGCAGGGAGTAGCACAAGTCAAAGGTAGAGACCAGAGTAAAGAGATCATCTTAGTTAGAGCAAGGGTAAATAAACACACAGAGCACAGCTTTTAAACTATGAATTCTATCCAGTCACCCAAGCCAGAAACCTGAGTTATTCTTAACTCCTCCCTTTTATTCTTCCCAGATATTTAGTCACTAGATTCTATGATCTTAATATTTCTCCTGTTCCTCCCTTATAGCAATTCTTAAGTACTGAGTATGGGCCAATGATGGGTAAACAAAGTCCTTCTTGTTAAGCTGCAAACTGATCCAGAAATGAAAGTCCTTTGCTTTTGAGCAAGTGACACTAAATCTCATAGCTTTAATTTAATATACAACTAAAGTCCACTTAAAGCTTTTTAAGGATTACTAAAATTTGGTATTCATAAACTAAAATAATCATATTAGCTAGAATTTCCCAAAGATTCCAATTCAGTATTTTAAGAAGTGTAGCTACCCCACAACTCTTAGCAATGCTGCAAAACTCCTGTGAATGTGTATACAATGGTCTCTCTCCTTGATTCTAAGACTAAACTCTAAAGCATGCCGTTAATTTTATGTTTTTTTAGAAAAAAGAAAACACTGCATTAAATGTACTTATTAACCATAAGGTGCTTTCCAACTTGCAAATGTGAAAAGAAAGCATGCCTTAGAACTGAGAAAATACCAGAAGTTGGAAATCCTGGTATTTTCAGGAAGGCAGCTTTATTATCAGTGTGTCATGTATATTATTTTGAATTGCTTTCTAAATTACAAAATACTGTGAGTTAAGCTTCAACATTATAAATAATGTTTGTTCTGAGCTGTTTGATTAAAACTAGAGTTCAAAGTGCAAATGTATTAGTCAACAGGCCTCAAGGTTCTGTACCGCTGCTCTAGCGCCTGGAATGTTCTTTCCCCAGATAACTACCTGACTTGCTCCTTCACCTCCATCAGGTCTCTGGTAAAATGTTACTTTCTCAGGGAGACCTCTGCTGGCCACTTTATTTAAAATTTAACCCTTTCCTAATATAGCATTCCCAGCCCCCAAACCCCCTTTTTTTTTTGTAGTGATTATCACCATCTCACTCTACTACAAGCAGTCTTAGGGCAGGGTTTTTAATCAACTGTATTCACTAATGTAACTTTAGCACCTAGAACAGTGCGAGGCACATAGTTGGTGCTCAGTGAATATTTGTTAAATTGAGTAAATAAATGTACATTTGTGTATTTTACCTACAATTTTCAATACTAGACTTTAAGACATTTGTGCATTCATGTTCAAATACAAATTCATACATATTCCAATTACCAAGAAATGAACACAAATATCCTGTACAAACCCCAGTAACAATGGCTACAATGTAAGGAGAGCTGTTAAAATAATCTTCTCTAGATTTTTTTTGAACTCCTGATCTTGAGAAATCCTCCCTCCTCAGCCTCCCAGAGTGCTACGATTACAGGCATGAGCCACTGTGCCAGGCCCTAGATTTTTTTGTCAAAATATGTTTAGACAAAATTTGTCATATGGTTTGTTCTTTTCCTTTTCTGTAAAATGCATTTAAATGATAATTTAAAATTTTAATAGCATTAATTGTGACATAAAGGTAATTTAATATGCTATAGTTACATTGAAATAATAAGGCTTCATTTCCCTTTATTTTTTTCTCCCATTATAGCAGCCACATACACCAACATAATTCTTGCCCACCTTGGTATTAGCGTGTGGGCTCAGGATCAATTATTTGTACCCCTGAGGTGTGCCTCCTTTTTCTTGCTGAAAGCCCACTTGAACAATTAGCTGAGTAGCACTGGGTTCCCTCACTGTTGGTTCCCTCATCACTTAATGCTATTACTGGGGTTTATATCTCTTGACTTCCAAAGACAAATAGATGGCCTTCAGAGACTTACGAAAGGCTGGCTGGATTATGTTCCTAAGTGTCTAAGTCAAAGGCAAATTGAAGAGAGGATTCTTTTTTTGCTACAAAATATTTTACATATTTATGGACTATATGAAGAGAGGACTCAAACTTTGACTCATCAGATTTCATGGGTAACTAAATTAGTGTTAGTAGAGCCAATGACATACTGATGACATCTATACATTCAATTAAACTTTTAAAAAGTGTTTTCTTATATTTATGACATCTATACATTCAATTAAACTTTTAAAAAGTGTCTTCTTATATTTATGACATCTATACATTCAATTAAACTTTTAAAAAGTGTCTTCTTATATTTAAGGTGCGAGATAATTCTTAAAATTGGGAGAGACTGAGCAACAGATTTTAAATTTTATACCTGGGCTGAAAATTTAGTTTGTTTACTTCATCTCAGAATAGTGTCTTTAAAGTGTGTGATTTCACATGGTTGGCAATGGGCGGAGGTTTTAGTTATTATTATCTACTGATGTGAGGCAAGTGAGATGATGTAGCAAGGATTTTTTTTTTTTTTTTTTTTTTGAGACAGAGTCTCGCTTTGTTGCCCAGGCTAGAGTGAGTGCCGTGGCGTCAGCCTAGCTCACAGCAACCTCAAACTCCTGGGCTCAAGTGATCCTTCTGCCTCAGCCTCCCGGGTAGCTGGGACTACAGGCATGCGCCACCATGCCCGGCTAATTTTTTATATATATATATCAGTTGGCCAATTAATTTCTTTCTATTTATAGTAGAGACGGGGTCTCGCTCTTGCTCAGGCTGGTTTTGAACTCCTGACCTTGAGCAATCCGCCCGCCTCGGCCTCCCAAGAGCTAGGATTACAGGCGTGAGCCACAGCGCCCGGCCAATAGCAAGGATTTTAAGATAAGAACCAGTGCTTCTGGGATAGGTTTCTGATACTGCCACTGTACTGAGCTAGTTGTTGAGAGCCATTAGAACTGTGAGAAAGAAGATTAATAATTCTATTTGATGTTTTCAGTAACAATTCACTCTATGCCAGTCACAGCTAATGACTGGGTAACAGGGTTGTGGTCCAAATAACTTCTGGCTTCAAGAATAAGGTATTTCAAAATTGCTGGATCCTACAGAAACTAGCAAGATATTGCACAGGGATAATAAACCACTAGAAGACAGCATCAGTGTAAGTCAGATAATCTTTGTGCTTGGAGAACTTTAAGTGTCATACAGATTTATCTCCCTGGATTGGTTTAAGCAGTTGTAACTATGAACAGGGGTTAAGAACAGGGGTCAGTAAACCTGGAGGAGGGCCAAGTCTAGCCTGCACCTAGTTTTGTACATCCCATGAACTAAGACTTACTCTTTTACATTTTTAAATGGTTAAAAAGTCAAAAGAATAACATTTTATGATACATGAAAATATGAAACTCAAATTTTAACCATGCATATTCATTTACATATTATCTGTGGCTGCTTTCACACTAAAACAGCAGAGCTGAATAGTTATAACAGAAATTATCTGGCCTGCACAGCCTCAAACATTTCATCCTTTACCCTTTACAGAACAAGTGTGACCCCTTGTGCAGGATATTCTTAAAGTCATCTTGCAGTTTTAGGAGTTATTTAACTAATAGAACATTAATCAGAGATTTAATCCTCTCTTCTGAGTTCACTGCTCATGTCCATGCTTAAAATATATAGACATTACTCTGGTCTTAATACAACTTGGGTTTATACTTTCCTAAAACATCTGACAAATTCACCACTTTCATAACTGATATTCCGCTCTCATATAACCAGTATCAGAAAATGTCTATATTTCAAGTACTACTTAGAGAATAGTAGTTCTCAACCTTCATTATACTCCTGTATACCTGATGGACAGGATACATTCATTGCTCTCTGTGGCAATGTTTCCCTTACAAAGGGCAAGAGACTGAATGAGCTGCTTTTCTATTTCGTACCAGAATTCTAAAAAGTAGGGTAGGCCTCCCTCAGATGATTTTGATAGGCTACCCTCTTCCACCAAGGTTATATGAGAATCATTGGATCTAGTACCATTTATCCTAGTTTTCTAGATTTTATTGCTATATTAAGACAAACTATTAGAGAGTGACGTACTTGGATTATACAATAAAGTAAAAATATATTCCTTTATAGAAATGCTTTATTAAGATATGACTGATAATTATACTGATCATGTATATTACAAGGTTGATGTAGGAATCAAGTATATGAAAGAGAATTTACATTTCTTCTTTAAAGAAGAAAACCGTAGTTGAAGCTATCAACCCATTTGTTATTCTGTGCTATTTATACAATAATTTCATATAGCAGGTTCAGATTTTAATTTTGTTTGAGTAAAAAAAAATAACAGGATTTCTATATATGATTTTTTTCACTGCAACAGAAGATATGTTTAGAAACTCAGTGGATTTGATTTCTAATCACTGCGTGGCTTTACCTAGCCAGGAAGTAAGACTAGAAGATATCCAAATTTATTTTAGCTCTAAAATTAAGTATCTCATTGGAAAAAAAAACACAACAACATTCAATCCCCAACCCCTTTTTTCCCTCCCTGCTAGAAAGCTTAGGGAAAATTACTGCCAAATGGTAGTGATTTGGTTATTTGTAAGTACCTAGTAAAATCCCATTTTTTCTGTTTCCTTTAAAATGTTCTGTTTTGTTTTAGTCATAAATAGCTTATTTTTCACTGTCTTTTAACTCTGAAAATCGTCCTTGGAAAAAGGTAGGCTATAAATGTTATATAAAAAACAGCATATTTCTAACATGGATTAGAGCTGGTAGGAAGAATGATAAATGTTCCTTTTTCACATTTGATTCCTGCTTTTAGCTGACTCATAGCCAAAGCTAAAAAGTTTACAATTACATGTAAGACAGTTGAGATGTCTTAGTCAAGCTGTTTTAATAGATCAGTAGCATGTTAAAAGGAAGAAAAATATTCAATTTCGATGTTTCTAGATGAACTCATCATTTCCATGGTTACTTTTAAAAGGTTAAAAGTAATCTATTAACATGGTTACTTTTTGTGATGTATAGGAAACCTTGCTATCATTTTTATTTCCTAAGATATAAAACTAAGGTTGAGAAACTACCTGAAGACAACAGTAGTGTGATTTAGTGAAAGAAGCATTTGAAACATAGGTCTGTGATTATCTAACAGAGTCAGTGAAAATTTAGATGTTTCCTAGATTATACCACATATTCACATGTATGTACCCATTTAAGTGTGAGGAGGTAGGGAAGAGGGGATGGGAATGAATAAAGGGGAAAAAAGAATCTGATAAAGGTCAAGGCAATTCATTCTAGTATTACAGATGTAAAAATCCATGAACTACATTGTTCAGCCATTAAATTAATTTGCTAATGATTTTTCCTCATTCCTTCATTTTAAGGTAAAAAGCTCTAGTGCTAACATCGTCTCGTGACACACAAATATAAATTTTTCCTTGACTCTGAGAGACATTTTGGCTAAGATTTTATTTTAGGATTTTTTAAAATTAATTTTTCATTAATTATAAAAACCTTAAAAAATAAATCTAAGTTTTAAAATGTTTTGATTCCTTTAAATTTCTGTAAGTTCCATAGTTATCTTTCAGTTTTGAACAGCCTGGGAAAATCAACTTATTTTCCCTTATCAGACAAAGGAAGTGTTTTCAATAACTTCTTTCTGTTCAACAACTTCTTTCTGTTCAACCTTAGTTACTTGAGAATTCCATTTTCTTCAAGAGCTAAACAGACATCTTTTCACAGGGGTTTCTCTTGATTAATACCCGTTTTTTTTCTTTATCTTAGACTTCACCCTTCATTGGTTCAGATGAACTGAGAAAGAGGCATGGAATATGGACAAGAAAATGGTGGCTAAGGGATAACAGAACGGGTCTTAGAAGAAAGATAGCCAGGAGTGAAAAAAGTTCCCTTAGTTTTCATTCTTCTCCCCACAAATACTTTCCAAGGACTTGCCAATGTTTAAAAGCCCATAATTAGAGCTTCATTTATTCCAGAATTAGTGCTCCATTCCTTTTGTTTGAACTAAACAAGAACTCCCCTTGGAGCTCTTGTGTGTGTGTGTGTGGAGACTTAAATTTTTTAAAGCAAAATAGTATCTTTATTTAAAAGTATGTTAAATTGATTATATTCAAAGAGAAGAACATTTGACTTACCTAGGAGGGTTACTTCAAAATGTCCAAGGCATCGGGCACTCTTAAAATCATCAAGTTTTGGAGGCCTTCCTTCTGGTGGTACGTATTTTGCAGGCTGAGAATTATACTGCTCAGTAAGAAACTTTCTGTGTTCGAAAATAAATTTCCGCGGAATACTTTCAGGATAAACGTGGCTGTAATGCAGGTGATCTATTAAGCCAAACTTTTTTTCTCTCCACAGCGGACTCTCCCACCTATCACTTATAGTTTTTCTGGCTTTCCTTAGGGGAGTTGAGAGTCCACCTTCTCGACCTATTAAAAACACAATGAGATAGACACAGTTGACTTAGAAACTAACCAAATCAAGTTATTCACTGCAACAAACGCACACATTAATGAAGAACAAGTTAAGTAACTTTAAAGATCAAACCACCAACTCCAAAATGTAAAATGAATATGCAAAAGATAATTCTTTTTTTTTTTTTTTTTTTTTTTTTTTTTTGAGACAGAGTCTCTCAGCCTAGCTCACAGCAACCTCAAACTCCTGGGCTCGAGTGATCCTTCTGCCTCAGCCTCCCGGGTAGCTGGGACTACAGGCATGCGCCACCATGCCCGGCTAATTTTTTATATATATATCAGTTGGCCAATTAATTTCTTTCTATTTATAGTAGAGACGGGGTCTCGCTCTTGCTCAGGCTGGTTTTGAACTCCTGACCTTGAGCAATCCGCCCGCCTCGGCCTCCCAAGAGCTAGGATTACAGGCGTGAGCCACAGCGCCCGGCCCCAAAAGATAATTCTTATGAAAGGGAAGAATGAACTAAATTCACTTTCAAAATAAACTTTTACTATAAAATATTAAAAGTGATGTTGTTTTTTCTGTTGTTAGAATTAGGAAGATTTATAATTTTTTCCTTATACTTTTATATATTTTCTAAAAACTCTTAAATAAACATATATTTCTTTTATATTAAGTGACACATTCAAGTTAAATTAAATTCCTGAGAATAGTAGTACCCTTTAGAGATTACTCACTATAGATGGAATTTTAGCTTAAAATAAAAATTAAAAAATTTTTTTTTTACTTTCCTCTATATTTCTTAGTTGGCCAATTAATTTCTTTCTATTTTTTTAGTAGAGATGGGGTCTCTCTCTTGCTCAGGCTGGTTTCGAACTCCTGACCTTGAGCAATCGGCCCGCCTTGGCCTCCCAGAGTACTAGGATTACAGGCATGAGCCACTGTGCCCAGCCTAAATTTTGTTAATCTTTGCTACAAGTAGCCTGAACAAATACAGTCTTGTTCTTCGGTACATCTCTCCTTCAAAAGGGCCATTTATTTATTATATATGACACTCCTTTCAGATATAAATAACACATGAAAACCAAAGAGGGAACTAAATTGAGATGAAAGACTCCCCTCAACTCTTGATTATTCTCTATCATCAAGTCAAATTATCATTTGTGTACAATTTATCTAACACATTTAATTTCTAAGGCAGAATATAATTTATCCCTTACACATTACGACATCCATTCATTCAACAAATAATTAATGAGCACCTATTATGTACCAGACACTGTGCTAAGGAATTTGGTACAAATAATATTTTAATTGAACAGTATATCCTGGGGACTGAAAACATATGGTAGAATCAGAAAAAATTAAATTTGGAACAAGACTCTTAAATTGTCAGTTCTGCTAGCTGAGGAGTTGCTGACAGCAACTGTTTCAGAGTTTGCCAAGGTTTGCTGAGCTACTTTCTTGCAGGCTATGTCCTGGTGTTGATTCTTATCCCAGCATCAAAAAACCTTGCTGGGACAGAGGGTGGCTTCAAAAAAAAGGTTTCAGTATGGGTAATATACCACTTCTGATGATTTTCAGACTTTATTCCATATTCCCAGACTACATGATTGGTTTTTCCAACCTAACTAGAGACTTACTAAAAATGTATTACAAAGTAAAGTATTAGATTGAGTTATAAAGGAAGATGATGAAGTTGATCACACACTTCTTACTCACCAGGAATTTAAAATACTATAATATTACAGAAGAGATTTTTTAAATTCAAAATTCAGTTCATGAACACACTTAGCTTCCTATGATAACGCTTGATAACAAAAAGGATAACAAATTTAATCGCACATGAAAAGGAAAGAAAGAAATAAATCAAAGCCAAGATAAAAACTTAATGTTAATAGGACTAAACTAAGGATGGGGAAATAATTTCATCCTTTTTATCCTCTAGAAATAAATCTCTTCTCAAATTAATAAAAGTACATAATTACAACAATAGTAGCTATTACAGTAATCTAAGCCATATTGAATTTTCCTGATTGACTTGTTCCAGAATATAGCATGCAAAAGAAATGGTTATATGCTACTTCAATTTTTTTTTTTTTTGAGACAGAGTCTCACTCTGTCTCATCATCATGGTAGAGTACAGTGACATCATCACAGCTCACCGTAACCTCAAACTCCTGGGTGCAAGTGATCCTCCTACCTCAGCCTCCCTAGTAGCCGAGACCACAGGTGCATGCCACCACACACAGCTAATTTTTTCTATTTTTGGTAGAGACGGGGTTCTTGCTTTTGCTCAGACTGGTCTCAAACTCCTGACCTCAAGCAATTCTCCTGCCTTGGCTTCCAGGAGTGTTAGGATTACAGGTGTGAGCCACCGTGCCCAGCCAATTTTACTCTTTAATTTTAATTAGCAAGTAAATGATAAACTTATAGCTAAACAAAAATTTTCTCCAAAATAGTATGGAATAGGAAGGAAAAAATGAGATTAATTTCAAATAGTCATTCCCCATGGGATAAACAAAATGTGTATAAAAAGCTCAGCACAGTGCTTAGCACATGAATGTCCAATAAATGGCTGGCACTATTATATAATTGTGGGAAGTACCATATTACTTCCTGTAGGCAAAACAGAGGGGATGATCTAAGCAGATGCTAATATAAAGATCTTTATAAAGTTTAATCACCAAGTTGACAGACTGAAGATTAGAAATTTGATTGCCTTCTTGGATATTCAGTAGAGAATGACAAAATCTGGAAACAATTATTAATATGTATTTCTCCTTTATTTTTAGAATTTAGATTCAGGTAAGATTTGTTTTCTGAGAAACCTTTTTTTTAAATTTCAAATTATGCTTATTTGGGGAAAACAATCTTTTTCTTCAGAAGTCTCAAGATTACTTTTTTTTTTTTTTTTTTTTGAGACAGAGTCTCACTTTGTTGCCCAGGCTAGAGTGAGTGCCGTGGCGTCAGCCTGGCTCACAGCAACCTCAATCTCCGGGGCTCAGCGATCCTACTGGGCTCAGCGATCCTACTGCCTCAGCCTCCCGAGTAGCTGGGACTACAGGCATGCGCCACCATGCCCGGCTAATTTTTTGTATATATATTTTTAGTTGGTCAATTAATTTATTTCTATTTTTGGTAGAGACGGGGTCTCGCTCAGGCTGGTTTCGAACTCCTGACCTTGAGCAATCCGCCCGCCTCGGCCTCCCAAAGTGCTAGGATTACAGGCGTGAGCCACCGCGCCCGGCCAAGATTACATTTTTTTTACTGAAACTGTCTAAAATGTGCATTAAAACGTTTAGAGAAAGTATTCAGCCTTATTCGGATAATAGTCTATCTAGAATATGATTAAGGGAAATGAATACAAATTTATTATTAGGTAACCTACATAAATCTAATAGGTAAGGTTAGTACAGATGGGTATTATTTTTTTACAAAAAGATTGAAAATTTTTAGAATGGAATTATTCAAAATGTCCTGATTTCATATCATGTAGCAATCAACAAAAAACATATTAAAATACTTTGGAAAGGTTCATGAGACATCAAATTTAACAATATAGTATGGAATAAAATAACAGTATCACTTCTAAGTGATACTGTTGTCTAAGTGGACATTGAAAACAAAATAATAACACCACCAAAAGCAAGAAAGGAGAAAAAGCTAAAGTGTAGTCCAAAGAGATAATCCCTTATAAGAACTGATTTGAAACAAATCACTCTAAGGGCAACCTACCAGAACAAAATTGTATTATAAAATCACTTCAGAAATGAACCCAAATTTCAAACCAATCAACATAATAGCAAAAAAAGCAGATACAACTTACTTTTAAGATTTACTTAAAATTACCATCAATTAAAAATTATACTTTCTACTTAATTATTTTTCTGTTAATTAAAAATTGAAACCTTAAAATCTGTATCCCCATAATCTGCCGAAATAAAAAAATAAAAAATAAAGTTTGTTTATAATTACTTTCACTTTGGGGATAATACCAAATTGATTAGTACTTTTGGCAGTGACATAGCTAATATAAATATAAACCAGCAATGAAACAACTAGCTACATATCTACCAAAAACACTACATTACTATATGGAAGCACATATTACTATATGCGAATAGTATTCTGTGTATAATAATGTTCCATAAAGTTTTCATAGATAATAACAAACAGTAACATACGTGGGGAGACGTTTGCCACGCCTGGTTTAGTTCCTTTTATGTGTACAGAAGCTTCTGGCTGAGGTACAGCAACTCTACAAAGGAATAAAAAGAAGATAACCAATAGTTATAAAAACAGACTCGTATGAAAAAAAAACCCTAATTGGTTCTATTTAGAATTTATTCTAATTCAATAAATTGAGAAAATAAACAAGTTCCTTAAAATAATGCATTAAAATACACAATTATTAAAAATATCCATACATAATATAATTCAAATATTATAAGAGATTTAAATTTTCTTTTAGGAGTATTCCATAAAAGGGAGCATTTAACTTTACTAAACATCAGCTAATATTTTCATTCTTTATAATGGAAATTTAAAAATTAGTGCAATGCCTTAGTTTTCATGTTTTCTTTGTTCAAATATTTTGGTAAACAGTCTGGCCTATCTCTTCAACCTCATTTCATAGTTTCATATTAGTCCCATGCTTTTTAAAACCTTTGTGCTTTTTATTTCTGCCTGAAATAATCCTATTCCCTCTTTCCTTTGCCTGGTTAACTTTTATTCATTCTTCAAATTTTAGTTTAGGCATTATTTCATATAAGAAGCCTCCCCTCATCTCTAGTCAAGGCTAACTGCTCCTTGCATATGCTGTTATGGCACTATGAATAAATTCTATCATAGTATTCATTACACTGTATTGAAAGTACAGATTTATAGGTTTTTCGTTTCCACCAGACTGAGCACTCTATGAACGTATAGACTTTATTAGTTTCTGTAGCTCCACATAGTAGCTGCTCAAAAACTGTTTATGGAACAGAAATTAGTAGAGAAAAGGGGAAACATCTTATTCTGAAGCTAAGGAGAACCATGCATTTATAAGGAAAGATTTCCATCTTACAGGCTTTAGCATATTGCTGTGAAAAATTTTTTCCTATTGTATTTACAAAACTAAAGGCATAAAGTGAAACAGAAATGTTATATTGTAGAATGACACATAATACTGCTCAACCTATTTTATCAATAGATTTATCTCTTATAATATTATTTTTAATTACACTAATCAGTTATTAACCCTTTGCACTCGCTTGCTTTTTTCTCGATTCCTTTATTCTACTCAGGATTTAATTTTTTAAATACCCCAGATTTTACAAAGCGTGGCAGTAGAATAAAAAACTGGAGCTTCTTTTCATACAAACTTATTTATTTGGATTTTTTTATATTTCAAATTATTGATACATTCAAAGAGTAATTTTAATCTCTATAATTTTTGCTAACAGTGTCGAGTCACACTCGACATCAAGTGCAAAGGGTTAATGAACTAAAAAGAAGTAGTGTTCATGAAGTATGTATGTACCATTTAACTATAAAATTCTGGCAAATAAAAACGTATTTTGGCTGGGCAAGGTGGCTCATGCCTATAATTCTAGCACTCTGGGAGGCTGAGGTGGGAGGTTTGCTTGAGCTCAGGAGTTCAAGATCAGCCTGAGCAAGAATGAGACCCCATCTCTATCAAAAAGAAAAGACAAAAAAGGGGGGAAAAGCCCACATTTTATAGTTGTAGTTTCATTTATTTTCAATTAATAAAAATGGAGTATTTCTAGAAATCTGTAAGCAGAAAACATAAACTCTAAGAGGAATATAAATAACTAAAAAATAAATAGTTGTATGCATTTTGAGATCCTTAATCAGTGTATATATACTTTTTTAAAAAGTGTGATTATAAAGTGATTTTTTTCATTTGACATAAATTAGAAGAAATAGTTTCTCAAACTCTAATATCACCATTACATTATACAGAATATTTTTTAAAAAGTGGTTTAGATTATTACTTGGTATACAAAATCATTCATTTGTATGACCTAAATGTCTTAAGGTGAGGGGCTAAGTGACAGATATGGAGCTATACAATGTCTATCGCTACCACCTGTGGAAACTGAACAAAGAGAGATAAAAAGATAAAGGAGAACAGAAAGATAACTGAGGGTAGAAAGGATAAAGAGGGCTAAAAGAAGAGAAGACAAAGATGCATATGATGTGTAGTGGCAGAATATCATGCAAATTATGTCAGGGACTACAAGTTGTACTCTAACCTTGCCCTTATTACCAATTTATTTAATTTAGCTAAAAGTCACATAGATTCTACAGTAGGCCATTCTCTCATCTATATAATAAGACTATAGTTAATATTATTGTGGTCTTATATAGTCTCTAATGCAAAGAAATTAAAAATACTTAATACATATATAGATATTATATTTTATCCTTTATGAACCTAAGAATCCTAATCTATAAAATTGAGATTATTATCCTGCTTCTCCCTCGCAGGGAAGTTGATGATCAAATGAAGTGATGTAAGTGATCTTGCTTTGTATACTGAAATGCTCTATGCAATTAATTGAAAGAATATTTTCAGTGTATTCTTAAGAAAAGCAGAAACATTATGCAAAAGGACACAAACATAGTTTTTTGTGAAGTTGCTACTTACTATAAGCAAATTAGAAATAGTTTATAATGATCAAAAATGCTAAAATCATTTGTGATCATTAATTCAAATTAGCAAATGCTTTTCAGGAAACAACCATTATTTTAAAATGTTTCCTATGGTTCCTCTGCTTTTCTTACTGGAAGATACTAAAAATGATTTTTAAGGATTGATTTAACTTTGGTATGATTCACTTTCTCTGTGGAGTAAATATCATCAATAGAATGAAATGAAGAGGTTTTAATGTCCCATTTGTCAAGTTTGATTTCTTCAGTGTTAATTTTTGGGGTGAGTTGATAGATTTTTGACTAAATTTTAAAATCTAACAGAAAGCACATGGTGTCCCTTAAATTGACTATCTACCATTTGAATTAAAATGTTGGTTGGATACAAGCTCTTAAACGGTTATATTCACTATTATTGTACCAACAGGTGATCAATACATTGGAGTTGTCAGGCCATGATATAAAACACTATGATTAATACATTCCAAGAAAACAAAAAAAACATGCAAAACAGATATAGAATCTTTAAACAGAACATGTAAAAGTAATTCAAGTGGGCTTCCTAGGACGATAAAAACAGAATAGCTGGACTTAAGAACTCTGTGATAGTAAAGAATATATGTCGTACTTGTCTCTAGTTCCTGCACAGAGCTTCAAAAACCTTTGGAATTTTCTGATGCATAGAACTGCCTTTGTTAATCTAATGAGTGACTGTAGTGGGCTCCTAGATTGCTTCAGGATGGGGCTTGTAAGTAGAAGACCAACCAAGTAATTTGAGGGTTGGAAACTGGGTTACCTCAAACTCTAGGAGAGAAGCGGGCTGGATATCGACTTCAATCATTTGGCCAATGATTTAATCAATCATGCCTACATAATGAAATTAAAAAAAAACCTCTGGCCAGCCAGGCTTGGTAGACTCTTGGTTGGTGAAACACATGATGTGCCAATAGATGACATCCTGGATTCCATGAAGAAGGGCACAGAGGCTCTGCATTCTTTTCCAACTTGCCCTGTGTGTCCCTCATTTGGTTCTCCTGATTACATCCTTAATAATAAAACAGTGATTGTAATTGTAGCACTAAGTTCTGTGAGTTGTCTAGTGAATATTGAACCTGGGGGTCAGGGCAGCACCCCTGAATTTAATGCCAGTTGATTAAAGTGCAGGTGCCTGGGACCCCTAAAGTGTTACTGGTATCTGAAGTAAGACAGTCTTGTGGAGGACTGAGCCCCTTAAGTCTGTGAGTCTAATGCTAACTCTGGTATTAATGTCAGATAGAACTGCAGCATGCCCAGTTGAATGGAAACAGAAAAGAACTCAATAACCACTGATAAGTTTAATAGTAGATTGGATATATAAAAAAGTAAATAAAGAGACAGGTTAATAGAAATTTCCAAACTGAAGCATAGAAATCAAAAAAGAATGATATATATGTATATACACACACATATGAATAATACAGAATAGAGTGCCAAGAAACATCTGTTCACAGAAGTACATCATATGTGTAACTGGAATCACAGAAAGAGAGGAGATAATGGGCAGAAATAATATTGAAGAGATATGGCTATAATTCCAAATTGATAAAGAATCAACTATAGTTTCAAAATGCTCAGTAATCAAAGTAGTATAAAACAAAGAAGATACTCCTTGGAACATCATATTAAGGCACTAAAAATTAAAGATAGAGAACATCTTAAAGCATTTTATAGAAAAGGATACAATACCTTTGAAAGGAGCCAATTATAAGACATCTGCCTGACTTCTCAACAAGATAGCGGAGACAAAAACAGTAGAATACACATTAAAGTCTGAAAGTAAAAAAAAACAAACAAAAAAAAAAACACACACACACACACAAAAACCAAAAACCCCCTGCAACCTAGAGTTCTGTATACTGTGAAATGGGAATAAAGGTGAAATAAAGATATTTTCAGACAAACAAAAACTGAGAGAATGAGTCATCAGCAAGCCACACTGAAATAAATGCTGAAGAGAATTCTTCAGTCAAAAGGAAAATAATGCCAGAGAGAAGAATGGAGATATAGGTCGGAATAAAGAAGAACATATAAAAAATTAATCATGTGGATAAATATAAGGGAATACTAACCATACAATACTATTCTTAGAGTTTAAAACATATGTAGAATTAAAGTGCAAGATAAAATAATGAAAATAGGGACGAATACAATTGAAGTGTTCTAAGGTTCTAGCATTGTCAGGAAAATGGTATCATTTGTATTTAACTGCAATAAGTCAAATATTTATGTTTTAAGGTAACCACTAAATAATAATGGTAACCACTAAATATGTAATTATCAAAATAAAAAAGGGAAAATTGAATAATGGAAACTACTTGATTAAACAAACAGTATGAAGACTGATATAAATACAACTATATCATTAATTCCATTAAATGTGAATGGAACAAATAAGTAAAAGACTAAGATTGTCACATTGGATTAAAAAACAACTATATGCTGCTTAAAGGAGACAACTTTAAATACAAAGACACAAAGAGGTTCAAAGTAAATTGAATGGAAAATATATGCCATGCAAACCCTAATCAAAATAAAATTGATATAGGTATATTAGTATTAGACAAAGCAGACTTTAAGGCAGAAAGCATTGTGAGACATAAAGAACATTTCATAATAACAAAGAGGTCAATGCATTACAAAGATATCACAATTCTAAATCTGTATGTAGCCAGCAACATTACTTCAAAATACATGAAACAAAAAAAAAAAACGTATAGAACTAAAAAGAGAAATAAATCCACAATCATAGTGAAAAATTTTGACACATCTGTCTCAATTAGCTGATGGAAAAAGCAGACAAAAAATCAGTAAGGATATAAAGGAGAAAAGAGATGATCAACAATTAACATACTTGGACCTAGCTGACATATATAGAGCAGTGCACCCAACAATGACTGAATTCATATTCTTTTTAGGTACATATGAACCATTTATTAAAATTGACTATATATCTTTCTTAAGAAGGCTTTCAATAAATTTCAAAAAACAAAAATCATTTAGAATACCTTCTTTATCCAGAATGCAGATAAGCTGAAATAAATTTTTAAAAGGTAACTAGAAAATGCTCAAGTATCTCTAAATTAATCAATATACTTCGCAATAGACCTATGAATCAAAGGAGAATCACAATAAAAACTAAAAAAAAGAATGTTTTTAAACTGACTGAGAATGAAGTAGAATGCAGCTAAAGTAGTGCTTTGAAATTTATAGCATTATATGCAAATATTAGAAAAGAAGAACCAAAAATCAATGATTTAAGAATCTAGCTCAAGTCACTATAATAAAAAAAGAATAGGAAGACTGATTCAGAAAAAAAGTCAGAAAACACAAACTATGAGTATCAGGAATGAATAATGGAACAACATTATAGATTCTACAGAAATATAAAAGACAATAAGAAAAAAGATAAGAAGATACTATGAACAATTTTATATCAATAAATATTACAATTTAGATGTGAACATAAAATTCTTTTTAAAAAATGGCCAAAGGAGAAAATATGGATATTCTAAAATTTATTAGAGAAATTGAATCACCTATTCAAAACTTTACCCAGAAGAAAACCTCAGACCCAGATGGTTTCACTGGAGAACCCATCTAAATATTTAAGGAAGAAATAATACCAATCTTCCACATTCTCTTACAGAGAATAAAAGAGAAAATATTTCCTAATTATTTGTTAGTAAAGCCAGCATAAACTTGATATACATCTATAACAAGCATATTATAAGAGATAAAAATCTATAGATCAATCTCATGAACATGGATACAAAAATGCTAAATAAAATATTAAAAAATCAAATACACTGATATATATGAAGGGTAATATATCATGAGCAAGTAAAATTATTTATAAGAATGAATGGATGATTTAACATTCAAGAAATTAATCAATTTAATTAACTACATGGGAAGAACAAAAGGTAAAAAATTTAGTAGATTAATAAACTCAGTATAAACATTTGGCAAAATTCAACTCACATTCGTGAGAATAACTTAGCAAACTAGGATTAGAAGGAAATTTAATTAATCTGATAAAAATTATTTACCAAATTTCTCAATGGTGAAATCTTGAGAAATTTCCTTCTGAGATTAAAAATGAGACAAAGATGCTCTTTACTACAAATTCTATTCAACATTATACTAAAGGTCCTAACTAGTACAATCCACAAGAAAAAGAAATAAAAGGGAAAATAATTAGAAAGGAAGAAATAAACTACCATCATTTGCAGATTACATGATCTATGCAGAGAAAATCCCCCTAAAATACTCCACAAATTTTTAGAAGCAATAAGTGAATTTATCAAGGATGCTAGTATCTACAACCTTTATAAATGAACTTATTATTTATTTATAACCAAAATCTGTTGCCCAATTGGGCACAACTACTCTAAAAAACTGGAGTTTAAAAAAATCTTAAAATCCCAAAAGATTCTGTACTCTGACTACTTTCGGAGTGTCTGGGTTTTCCTGACACCTTAAAGAAACTAAAATTATTAATCATATACAATTCATAATGGATGAGGTTTATGTAGGAAGACCTATGCTTAAACAATTGGTATACAAATATAAGCTATAATGTTTTAAAGTAAAATAAAATGCTTAAATAAAATAAAAAATGTTTATTTTTAAAAATAAATCTGCATTTTAAACTCATTTTCAATTAGTCCGTGCTGAGTATGGCAGATAAGAAGGATTCTATTATGGGTTAAATTGTGTCCTCCAAATTCATATGTTGAAGTTCGAATCCTCAATACCTCAGAATGTGACCTTATTTTGGTTGCCTGGCTACAAACAGGTGCTATTCTTCAAGAAAACGGAATAATGACCCTGGGGATGAGACTACCTCCTTCGTTCCAGAAGACGGGACAACCTTTTCAAATCTAGAGGGTAGGACCATCTCCTTGGTTCCAAAGTGTGGAGCCACCATCCAGAGCTGAAGAAGTTGGGCTGCTACCTTGGTGGGCCCAGAGGACACAATGTTGAAACTGTGAAGTCTTAAAATCTAATGGAATTTGCCTTATTAGGTTTTGGGGTTGCTTGTGACCCAAGACTCTTTTTTTCCTTCCAGTTTCTCCCTTTTAGAATGGGAATGTCTATCTTGTGCCTGTCCCACCATTGTGTTACAGGACAGATAACTTATCTGATTTCACAGGTTTACAGATGGAGAGTTCTGTCCCAGGATAAATCACCCTGATCATGGATGAATGAATCACATCAATTTGTAATTTAGATATTTAAGTGAGATTTTGGACTAGAGTTCATATTGGCATGGTTTAAGCCTTTTGGGGATATTGTGACGGAGTGAATGTATTTTGAATGTGAGAAGGACACAAATTTTGGGAACCACAGGCAGACTGTTATTGGTTGAACTATATCCCCACAAAATTCACATGATGAAGTCCTAACCCTCAGTAACTCAGAATGTGACCGTATTTGGAAACAGGGTCATTGTAGATATAACTGGTTAAGATGAGGCCATATTGGAGTAAGGTGGGCCCCTAATCCAATATGACTGCTGTCCTTATAAAAGGGAGAAATTTGGACATAGACACCACACAGGGAGAACTCTATGTGAAGATAAAGGCAGAGAATGGGGTGATGCTTCTACAAGTCAAGGAATGCCAAAGATTTCCAGCCAACCAGCAGGACTAAGGGAAAGGGATGGAACAGATTCTCCCTCATAGCCCTCAGAGGGAACTAACCCTATTGACACCTTGTTCTTGGACTCTAGCCCCAAGAGCTCTATGTAAGCCGCTCAGTCATCATATTTTGTTATGGCAGCCCTAACAAATTAATACAGCTTCTATCATAATTGCTTATTTTACAGGCTAGAGATAAACCAAAAATAAAATAATATGCTTTGTCTATACTTGACACAAATGACTTACGGTTTAGCAGATGGGCCTTGAAGAATTCTTATTTTATTGCTCACACTCAAACTTGCAGATGCAACTTGAAAACACTGAGAACACCTAGGCACATCATCTAGAGGTCGTTTAACATTTCTCTCCGGACTTTGAGTTTCTCCTCTAGCTGCTTGAGATGTTGAGGGTTGGTTAGCATTCTAAAATCAATAATTTAGAGAAAACATTTAAAAATAATTCACAAAATTTTTTTCTCTCTTAAAAGATCTACAATTTTAATTTATCCATTTTTTTATAATCTTAAGAATGGTGATAACTGGAATTGATAAATAAATTCAGCAAAGTCTCAGGTTACAAAATCAATGTACACAAATTAGTAGTATTCATATATACCAACAGTCAAGCTGAGAACCAAATCAAAGACTCAAACCTTTCACAACAGCAACAAAGAAAATAAAATACCTAGGAATATATTTAACTAAGGAGGTGAAAGACCTCTACAGGGAGAACTATGAAACACTGAGGAAGGAATAGCAGAGGATGTAAACAGATGGAAAAACATACTATGCTCATGGGTTGGTAGAATCAACATTGTTAAAATGTCTATACTACCCAATGTGATCTACAGATTCAATGCAATCCCTATTAAAATACCAACATCATTTTTCACAGATATATAAAAAATAATTCTATGCTTTGTATGGAACCAGAGAAGACCCTGTATAGCCAAAGCAACCTTAAGCAAAACGAACAAATTGGGAGGCATCAAATTACCAGACTTGAAGCTATACTACAAGGCTATAGTAATCAAAACAACATAGTAATGGCACAAGAACAGAGACATAGACCAATGGAGCAGAACAGAGAACCCAGATATAAAACCATCCTCATATTGCTATCTAATCTTTGACAAAGCAGACAAAAACATGTAATGGGGAAAAGAATTCCTATTTAATAAACGGTACTGGGAAAATTGGATAGCCACATGTAGAAGACTGAAACAGGATCTACACCTCTCACCACTCACAAAAGTCAACTCACAATGGATAACAGACTTAAACCTAAAGCATGAAACTAAAAGAATTCTAGAAGAATATGTTGGAAATACTCTTATAGATAATGGCCTAGGCAAAGAATTTATGAGGAAGACTCCCAAAGCAATCACAGCAATAAATTAAATAAATAAATAAATGGAAATTGATCAAATTAAAAAGCTTCTGCACAGCCAAGGAAACAATCAATAGAGCAAATAGATAACCTACAGAATGGGAGAAAATATCTGTATGCTATACATCTGATAAAGGGCTGATAACTAGAATCTATAAAGAACTCAAGCAAATCAGCAAACTCAAACAAATCAGCAAGAAAGAAATCAAACAACCCATTAAAAAGTGGGCAAAAGACAGGAACAGAAATTTTTCAAAAGAAAATAGACTGATGGCCAACAAATATATGAAAAAATACTCAGTATCTCTAATTATCAGGGAAATGCAAATCAAAACCACAATGAGATATCACTTAACTCCAGTGAGAATGGCTTTTATCAAAAAGTCCCAAAACAACAAATGCTGGCGTGGATCCAGAACTATAGGAAAACTCACACACTATTGGTGGGACTGAAAACTAGTACAACCTTTATGGAAAGTAGTATGGAGATAATCCAAAGAACTAAAAGTGGACCTACCATTTGATCCAGCAATCTCACTACTGGTTATTTACCCAAAGGAAAAAAAGAGATTCTATAAAAAAGACACCTGCACTTGAATGTTTATAGCAGCATAATTCACAATTGCAAAGATGTGGAAACAACCCAAGAGCCCATCAATGTATGAGTGTATTAATAAAATGTGGTATATGTATACCATGGAGTACTACTCAGCCATAAAAAATAGTGAACTAATACCTCTTGTATTAACCTGGATGGAACTGAAGACCATTCTTCTAAGTGAAGTATCACAAGAAAGGAAAAAGCAACACCACATGTACTCACCATTAAATTGAAACTAACCGATTAACACTTATGTGCACATATGGAGATAACATTCATTGGAAATCATGCAGGAGGGAGAGGGAGGAGGGGATGGGTAAATTAACACCTAACAGGTACAATGCACACTATCTGGGGGATGGGCACACTTATAACTTTGACTCAAATGGTACAAAAGCAATTTATATAACCAAAATGTTTGTACCCCCATAATATTCTGAAATAAAAAATAATTGTGACAAAACTTTGCAACCAACAGTGCTTTTATAAAGATGATTAAATCTAATCCATCTGCTATTTCAATATTTTTTTTTTTTTTTTGAGACAGAGTCTCACTTTGTTGTCCAGGCTAGAGTGAGTGCCGTGGCGTCAGCCTAGCTCACAGCAACCTCAAACTCCTGGGCTTGAGTGATCCTTCTGCCTCAGCCTCCCGAGTAGCTGGGACTACAGGCATGCGCCACCATGCCCGGCTAATTTTTTTATATATATATCAGTTGGCCAATTAATTTCTTTCTATTTATAGTAGAGACGGGGTCTCGCTCTTGCTCAGGCTGGTTTTGAACTCCTGACCTTGAGCAATCCGCCCGCCTCGGCCTCCCAAGAGCTAGGATTACAGGCGTGAGCCACAGCGCCCGGCCTATTTCAATATTTTTTAAAGGAAGATAAAAGTGCTTCTTATACTAGTATAACTGAAAAGTTGGATTAAACATTTATTTCCATATGGACAGTAATAATCGTAGGCACATTTTTTAAGAAGATAAACTCATGGGAAAAATTAACTTATTTGTACTGATTGTGTCAATATTCCAGAACTGGCCTCTTTTACTATTTATTCTACAAGAGTTATTGCTATCTCATATAGAACCTGGGTAAGACTACCCTACTAGATTTAGAGATAAAAACTTCCCATGGAAACTTTCCTGTAGTACTAGCCTGGACAACAGGTAGGAAATGAATATGGACATACATACCACCTGGAAGTTTAAAACATAAATCATAGGCTCAAATTATGCAGAAAGCAAAAACAAAATGCCAACTTTTGAGGGTTTTGGGAAATGTCAGAGGCTGTGACTATTAGCCCAGTGTGCCCCAAAATAATGACAGAAAAAGGAAATAAAAAGCTGAATTTTTTTTTTCTTTTAGGTTTACATCATTAAGAGTCAATACATGTGAGTTCTGAAGAAAATGTAAAAGGTACCAATTATAATTATGATCACAGTGCTTTCAGAGATATGCTATTAATTCTCTGGCCCCATACCCGAGGTGTTTCTGGTGCTGAGGCATTATCAGTTGCGCTGCTATAAGGGACATACTTTATAACCGTAATTATCCCCTGAATTGCAATGCGCTTTTGTTCCCTATACTGTAAGTCTTCAATCTCCTTTTTCACTTCACTTATAGCTGTCAAGAGCGACTCAACTGCAAAAGAGGAATTCCAAGGTAAGTTTTAAAGAACTGAAATGATAAAAATAAGAATTAGATTTGCAATGTAATTTCACAACATGAAACTATAAACTTGCTACATTAACGTAAGTCTGTGAGACTTTGTGTTTATATCTGACATGTAATTTTTATGTAATTTTTGTGAAATAGGCAAGATACATTTATCAGTTAAATTGTAACACAGGCTTCCAATCTGGAGTCTTCAATTTGCCAAAGAAATTTTGCGTATTTAATGTAATTTATATATTTCAAACTATAAAGTGTTGCCTAGCCACACTGGTTTTTTTTCCAAAACCATGCAATTATTTCATGGCTTTTAAAAAAGAACATGCTTATATTAAACTTTCAACTGTCATATAGTAATTCTACTAATTGTACTAATTAGTTCTACTAAAAAGTAAATTAATATTAGGTCTCTCATCAGTACTTCAATTCTAAATTCAGCATCTCATTTATTTTGGTGTCATTTTTTATTTAAAGGTAGCACTCAATTGTGTTATATACAATATATATCATTCACAAAAGTAGCATAATACAGTTGTCTGTATTATGCTAGTTGCATAATACAGTATCTTAATATCAAATTGTCCAGCATCTCTTATAGATATCTTTAGTCTTTCTGTGTAATGTCATGGGAGTTGAGATCTACCAAGGTCAGATCTGATCTCAGTGACATTAAATCAAAACATTACAGGTTGAGCATCCCTTGTTTGAAATGCATGGGACCAAGAGGTTTCAGATTTCAGATTTTTTCATATTTGCATTATAGTTACCGTTCAGCAACCCTAATCCAAATCCAAACTCTAAAATGGTCCAATGAGTATTTCCTTTGAGCGTCATATCAGCGCTGAAAAAGTTTCAGATTTTAGAGCATTTTAAATTTTAGATTTTTGGATTAGGAATACTCAACCTGTATCTCCAGTTAGCCATCTTCTACATTCTCTCTTTTCTTCCAGTCTAATAAAATCATAATAGTGACCTTTAGGATACATGACATATATTTTTCTGTCTGCTTTAAGACAAAATTATTATCAGTGAATGTTGCTACACTTTGGCTCATTCTCATAAAAGAACAAAGACGACTAACTGAAATAGCATATACCATACATATAACATATAAACATGAAAACTGGCAATTATATAAATACCTTTAATTGAACTACTATACTTGGAAAATGTCTCTGGCACTGGTGGATAGGGGTAATATCCACCAATAACAGTATTCTTCACTTCTCCAGAATCGGTCTGTGTTTTAATCCACTGAATAAAGTTTTTTACCTTGGCATCGTAGGTATACGGCTGGCCTTTGTGACCTCCTTGTGAGAAGGGTAAATCGTAAAAAAACGAGAAATAAAAAGTTCACTGTAGTAAACTGAATAGACTTTTTTGTATAAGAAGTTTAATATTAAAACAGTCTCTCATATTACTAAGTAAAAAAGTCAAGTTCATTTATTCACTATGTAGCAGATAATTATTTAAGACAGTAAACAAATCCTAAGAAGGAAATCAGACATACATTAAAGTAGACTAAACTGTAGCTGTCTATAGGATGCTAAAAACCACAGGAAGAAGAAAAAGTAATAATCTGAATTTTTCTAACTGTCCAAATGGTTGGCATCTTATGAAAAAAATGATTTTAAAACCATATATTAACCTAAAAGTATGGCATTATGTATGAACTAAACTACTTATGAATATAGCTCACCATTTAAATTCATGTTCTTAAAACATACTTAAAAGTGTCATATTTACATCTGATAGTATTTTTAAAAAGGTATGTACTGACAAAGATGTACATTATACCTTTCCTAAGACTCTACTTTTGACAAACTTAATTACCAACATGGTATAGCTCTGGTAAATATCCCATTCTGCACTATTCCCTCACCTTCTCATTTGGAAACTTTAATCTTTATTGTTTTGACCCTGTTATTAGAGGGAATAGGGAAAATAATATACTTGTAGACAAGTAGTGAGACTCTTCTTACTATATAAGTAAGATGTCAGATCTTGGGGCCAAAATTTGATACTCATTTTTGTTTTATTTAGTATTTTAAAATATTGTTAACTGAATCTATACTATGGTACCATGCTTAATGGTTTTCAATCTATCAAGTAATTTATGATTATTTACATTCTACATCAAACAGGAATTAAAGTTAACTGAAGGATATAAACACAATTCTCTAGTGAGTCAAAAAATCATTGCTTCAATCATAAATAATCCAGAAGCAATGCACTCCATAGGCCAAATATTTTTTTGTTAAAACATTCTTACAGTGATAAATGAGGGCAAAATAAAGCTATCTTTTAGTTGACTGTTATTATATATATTATATAATATTAAGTTATATGTTAAGTTAATATGTGCTAAAGGATTCTAGAGAAGAGAAAATACATTACATTTCCAACAAAGTATACACAAAGAAATTACTCACCAGTAATAAACACTCGACTCTCATTGGTAGTGGTGAGGTAAAGCAGTTTAGGTACTTGAGTGTCATTTCTGACAACTTTCAATTGTGTACACACAAAATATGTCACTGTAAAAAATAAATATATTTCTAAAATTACTTTTATATTCTAAAAAGGACATACCAAAATCAAGATCTAATAAAAATGCTTGTCTAACTTCAATGACAAAGGAATAACATGAGACTATTGTCAAAAGGCAAATTCAGATTCAGTAGGTGTAAAGTGGAGCCTGGGCTTCTGCATTTCTAGTAAGCTCCTAGTTAAGTACTGGTGCCTCCACTCCTCTGACTATACTTGGAGCAACAAGGATCTAATCCTAATCTACAGAGTCATTCTAACTGGGCACCCAACTGAGTGTGAAAAGTTATTTCCTATAGAGAAAAAAAAAAACTTAGTTTCTCCATGATACTTTCATTGATTAACTGAATCTAACAATGAATCCTGAATTACTCCAACTCCTTCAATGAGAGTGGGCTAAACAGTATTAATTTGTATTTGTTTATGCAAGGGTTTTATATCTCTCATGTATTTGTCTTAGACTTAAAGGCCAATAACAGGGCTTATATCATCTGTTTATTTTCTTTTCACCTTGCTAACTTGATACACTAAAAAGAATCCCTGAAAATGAGCTTATAATGTCCTCAGATTTCAACTACTTTCAAAAATTATCCGTTGTTTTTAATTATTTATCAGGTTATTTAGTTATTAGAGTTTCATTAATCTAACACTTAAAAATTTTTTTAACTCATTACCATGTTTCCCCAAAAATAAGACAGGGTCTTATATTTATTTTTCCTCAACAAGACACCCTAGGGCTTATTTTCAGGGAATGTGTTAATTTTTTAAGTATGGTACAACAATCTACATTTATTCAAATATAGTTAAGTCGTCTTCTTCTGGAATATCATCATAACTCTCCAAACCCCAAATTCCATCCTGAATTTCTTGTGACTCTATTTCCTTCAGAACCATTGGCCCCAATCTCTCATCGAGCAATACAGCTCTCATGGGGCAGATGAGAAGGGCTGCTCATCTTCTTTACCACTCTGCGACGAAATGCATGGGTTGTGCAGATATGCTGCGTAGCCACGCCCATCACTAGGTCTTATTTTCGGGGTAGGGCTTATATTGAGCAAATGCTTAGAAAGCCTGCTAGGGCTTTTTTATGGGTAAGTCTTATTTTCGGGGAAACACGGTACATGCCAAAACAGTTACAGTCTTTCAAATCAGGAAATGAAGAAATAAATGTAAATTCTTGTAATCACATAAAAGTAAGTTTTTATTTGAGAATAAAAATTTCTCCAGTGTATAACTATAAATTCATTTGCTATATCTTATATTTACTAGATATTTCTTTATTTTGTAGCAGTGAAAATAAAGAAAATCTGTTCAAATGATAAGAGTTATCTTAATTTATATCACTTTTCCTTATTTCAAAAACTGTACAAACATATGAATATTAATGGCTAAAGATGCTGGTACAGGAATATTAAAGGACCTCTAAAATCTGTTAAGAGGGTAGATCTCATGTTAAGTGTTCTTACCATAATAAAATAAAAATAAAAAAAAATAAAGAAACATCTAACCTCTAATGACCTCTAATGGCCATTATAAATCTGAGAGTCAGATCTAACACTTTCTAGCTGTTTGACATCCAGGAAATTACTTAACTCTTCTGGATCTTTGCTTTTTCACCTGAAAGTTTATATCAACATCAACTGTTTAAAAGGTTACTGAGAATACAAAATTAGATAATATCTAATAGCTTCTGGTACATAATAAATGCACAATATTAGTTCCCCTTAGTTATTCACTTTCCTTATAAAAATTTTTTTTGTACTACCAAGGGATTTTGTTATTACTTCAGAAGACCCTTGGTCATATTCCCCCTCATAGGCCTGAAGCCCCCTTAATATTCACAATTTTTTCCTTCACTCTTGGTCAAAAGAAAATAAATTGTGATTTTTGTGAACTTATTATACTAGAATAAATCTCACCAAGGTCCATATATACCTTTCTTAGAAAGATACATTTCACATTATTACAAGAAATAGAATATGCATGCTTGGCAAAGTTTCTGTAAGAAATCTTTATCCAAAACTTGTGTCAGCTGATTGTTTAAAATGGCTATAAACAAACTGAAAGGAGATGAAACCCACCTAAAATGAGGCAATCAAAATTGTCATCAGAGGTCATCAATGACAATTGTTTATGTCCCAAAAGAAGTGATATGAGAGGTCATCTCCCACTCATCTTGGAAGCCCATGTCTTGGTCATGGCCAAAACTCTCTTTCTGTTCCATCCCCCAAAAGTTGGGGTAAGGTTCAGTTCTATCTGCGTATATTTAAAAATTTTAATCTCACAAGCCTAGGGTAGAATCTAATGAAGCAGAAGTGTGTAATATTGTTTTGTACAGAGAAAAAAACAAAAGGGGCAGCAGAATAGTCCTGTATATAGTCTCTAGGTCTCTTAGTGTTCTATAATTTTTATCTTATTGCTGGTTAAAAAATTAGATGTAGTGAATATTGGGAGTTTTCTCAATGTTGGCAAGCAGTTAACACAGGTAACAATCAGTATTTATTCATGTAATCATTTAGAAAATAATAAAATAGCATACCATATCTAAAATAGCTTTATGTTCTGAATTCAAATAAGGAAATCATCACTGAAATTATTGAAAAGTATTAAATATACTTTTTTCCTTATCATACTAATCTGAAGACTATCCTGTTACGTTATATGAAATATATAAAGGGCCATACTTAAAAATGTTTTCGAATAAATAAAACTAGTGGAAAAATACTTTTATATCTGAATGAATACAGGAAAAAAAAGTCAATGCCAAAGTAAGCCAAAGTAAAATACTGACCAGCTGGTGTAACGCCACCAACTTAATATTAATTTAATATTCAAATGGGATCATACTTACCACTGTTATTATTTAATTACATGGTTTGTCAATCCTCTATCAATTACTGCCACATTAGTAAAATCTTTGATGTCTTTAATGGGTTCTACCTAATCAATTTCCAAATGGATACAAAGGGAACTGATTGCCCACATTTTAGTTTTACTGAATCGGACTTTTTTTATGTGTGCAATTTTAACGAGAATTGATAAGAACACCTGTTTTCTAAAAAACTAGTTTAAATACCAAATTAATTCTGAATAGACAACCAGGAGTTTAATATCTGCTATAGCAAATATGATATTAATATAGAAAAGTTTAAACATGCTGTCAGACTGCTTGAATTCACTAATTCAATGTCATGCCACTTCTACTATTTTTTAAGTTAATGTTCCCTCCTACTTTTAAAAATAAAAAGATAAAAATATTAAGATTGAGTACTTGGGTAAATATTTTCGAAGATTTCTGGCTGAGATGTAGAAAACAGTTCCACTATAAATGGTAGCTCTGAAGTCCCATCAGCAATGTGAATCCAGCGATATGACCAAAAATCTTCACCATTTTCTATATGGATAGAATATTAAAATAAATAAAGGTAACTGATTATACACACATGAACACATAATTATGTGCTGAAATACTTTTTTATGACTTCTCAACTTTAAAAGCTTACCTTTCTTTTTTGACCTCTGGACCCTTCCTACGAAAACTAAAATGCCAATTACATCGCAGATACGATTTTCTGGCATATCATCCAGTTCTGATCTAAAAAATTAAAAAAAATTATTAAATAGATATTATATCTTTAAATAGTGAAAAAGTATTCTTCAATTATGATTTTGAAAATGTATATATACATAATTGGTACAGCATAATTTTGGGTTTTCTTTTTTTGAAATAGGGTCTCACTCTCTTGCCCAGGCTGGAGTGGAGTGGCCCAATTATAGCTCACTGTAACCTTGAACACCTGGGCTCAAGTGATCCTCCCACCTCAGCCTCCTGAGTAACTGGGACTACAGGTGCATGCCACCATGCCTAGCTAATTTTTAAATTTTTTGTAGAGACAGAGTCTTGCTATGTTGCCCTGGTTGGTCTTGAAAATCTGGCCTCAAGTGATCCTCCTGCCCTGGCTTCCCAAAGTGCTGGGATGATAGGCATGAGCCACCACACTCAGCTAATTTTGGGTAGATTTTGAACAAATTATAATGCATTGTTTTTTAGTAATTAACATTAAAAAGTAATATTTAAGACATTTTACAAGCAACTATTTTACCTTGTGATAAATCGGTGATTTAATTTTGGCAGTCTCCATTCTGGTTTCACCTGCTTTTCTGGAATGATGATTATATTTGTTGGAGGATCTCGAAGATTCAGGCAGATTTCTGAAAAACAAATAAATTACTTTAATATGATATTTAATACATACTAAAGAATATACATGTACATACATTACACAGCAAAGTAATAGACTGAACATTTTGGAACCTACCACCAAACCCAAGAAGTAGATCATAATCAATGGTCTTCTGCCTCCATTATCATGTCCACTTATTTCTCCACCAAAGATTAACCATACCTTGAATTTCACGTTTTATCATTTTCTTAACTTAAAAAGATTTTATCATTTATATGTTTTTGCTTAAATAAAATAAGTTTGTATTTGTTTTTTAACTTCATATGAATGGAATTATATAATATATAGTATTCTAGGGATACTTTTTTCACTTATTTTTGCTAAAATTCATTCATGTAGCTACATATAGCAGGATTAGTTTTCATTTCTATGGCTGAATAATATCCCAGTGTGTCAATATACTGTAAGTTTTTAACTATACCTTATTTATCCTTTATTGTGTTGATGGAAATCTGGATTATTTCCAGGTTTTTGCTATTACACATGACTGTTACAAATATTTTTGTATATGTCTCCCTGTGCACACAGGCAAGTGTTTTTATAAGGTATTATACCTAGGAGTAGAAACTCTGTATTGTACAATATGTAAATATTCAACTCTACAGGCTAATCCCAAATTATTTTAAGTAATGAACCTATTTATATTTCCACCAGCAATGTGTAAGAATTCCCAAAGATACATATCTTTTCCAAACTTTGGTATTGTCAAATTTCTTATTTTTTGAGAACCTAGTGATATGACAATTTGTTGCGGTCTTGTTTTATACTTCCCTTATTAGTAATTAAACAACAATTCATATACTTATGGTCCATAAATACATCCTCTTCTGTGAAATGCCTGTTTGTGTCTTTTGCCCATTTTTCTACTGAATTGTTTTTAAAAATATATTTGCAGGAATTGTTTATATATTAATTCTTTGTTGACTACGTAGTTGCAAATATTTTCACCCAGTTTGTACCTTGTTTTTGCATTTCTTATGGTGTTTTTTGATGGACATGAATCCTTAATTTTAATGTAGTTATTAGGTTTGTTAATATTTCTTTTATGGTTACTACTTCTTATGTCTTATCCAAGAAATCCTTCCTTATCTCAAGGTCAAACTGTGGGTTACTTTCTTATAAGTTCTTCTATAAGTTCTTTCTGTAAGTTCTTCAAAAAGTTTTGCCTTTCACATTTAAGTATTAGATATATCTGGAATTGATTTTTATATGGTATGAGATACGGATATACTGTCATTTTTCTCATATATTAATCAAGTATCTTACTACTATTTACTGAATGGTTCCTCCTTCCTTGATGATCTAGCAGCAGTCCCTAACCTTTTTGGCACCCGAGATCGTTTTGACTGTTTTCATGGAAGACAATTTTTCCATGGACCGGGGAGGGAGGGGATGGTTTGGGGATGATTCAAGCACATTACATTTATTGTGTACTTCATTTCTATTATTATTACATCATAATATATAATGAAATAATTATACAACTCACCATAGTTTGGAGACTCCTGCTATATAGCACAGCTGTCATGTCAAAATTCTATATGTTTATGGCTATATCTTGGCTCTATATTGTGATTCATTGGTCCATTTATCTATACTTGCACCAATACAACATTGTCATAAATACTATAGCTTTATAATAATTCTTGATATTTGTAAGACAAACCCATACTCCCTTACTAGCCCCCTATTCTTTTTCTTCAGAAGTGCCTTGACTATTTTTGGCAAATATGTGCTTCCATATGAATTTTAGTATCAGTTTGTCAGTTTTAGTTTAAAAATCTGATGAAATAGCACTCAATCTATAGATCAATTTGAGAAGATTTATTTATGAAATTGAGACTTATCTCCCACCTGTGAACACGGGATATTTCTCAACTTATTTAAGGCTTTTTTAATTTGTCATAGAATTAAATAAAAAAAATATTTAAGGCTTTATTATTAAGGCTTTCTCAATGTCTTTGAATAATGTGTCATAATCATCTCCACACAGGTCTTACACATCTTCTTTTAGATTTATTTCTAAATACCTTAGAGTTATTGTTGACAATGTAAATAATGTTTTGAAATTATAATTTCTAACTCTTTAGTATTGGGGTATACAAAATCAGTTGACTTTTGTATATTGATCTTACAGCTAGCTTTGCCAATATCTTATTAGTTTTAATACTTTGTGTTATTTTGAACTTTCTGTACAGAACATTTAATTTGTGAATAACAAGTTTTGTGTTTTTCTATAAAATTCTTATATCTTTAATACATTTTGTCTTCTCACACTGGCTAGGACAGCCAGTACAACATTAAATAGAAATAGTAAGAGGAGGCATCCATATTCCCCATTTTAAAAAGAAATGTTTCTAATTTTTCCCCATTAAGAATAGTGTTTGCTGTTTTGTCCCCATTAAGAATTATGTCTGCTATTTTGTTTTTATTTGTAAATACCCTTTATTAGGTTAAGGAAGGTTCTTTTCTTGCTATTTTCTTTTTTTAAATTAACAAATGGGTATAATTTTCTTTAAGCCTATAGCACCTGGTATTTACAGGTGGTCTCCCATCCAAGTACTACCCACCCAATCCTGCTTAGCTTCCAAAGGGCAGGTTGGGTGAGACAGGCAGTCCATGGTGGGATGGCCAAAGACAGGTATAAAATTTAAACAAACACTTTGTGTATCTATGAGAATGATCATTATTTTCTTTGTTAATGTGGTAAGTGACACATAGATTTTCATATGTAAAACTAACCTTGATTGCTCTACATAGTTAAAAAAAACCCCAAAACAAAAAAAACTAATTTTGCATTGCTAGGAAAAAAATCCAACTTAGTCACAGTGCCCGATCTTTTTTTTTACATATAATTGAATTCAGTTTGTTAATATTCTATTAAGAATATCTATATATATGTTCATGGCTGAAGCTAGCCTATAATTTTCCTCTTTCATGCTATTCTTGTTTGGGTTTGATTATCAAGGTTATATTGGTAGCAAAGAACGAGTTATTCTCTTAGTCTATTCTCTGGAACAGTTTTGGAATGGTATCTTCCTGTAATGTTTGGTAGAATTTGCTATAATATGATGTATGCCTGATATTTTCTTTGTGGGAAAATTTTAAACCTCTGATTCAATTCTTTTAATAGCTATATAACTATTTGGACTTTCTAGTTCTTTTTATGCCAGTAAGTTATATTTTTCTAACAATTTGTTGTATAGCAAACAAAACTTAAACCAGCATGAAGATATCTGATTTCTAGTCCTGCCTATTACTAGCCATGCGACTGGAAAAATCCACTTTATCATAAGCAAGGGAAGTTTGTATTAGGTGATATTACCTTGCACCTAGAAAATTGTTTGCATTTTATAAAGCACTTTCATAGTCATAGTACCACCTGATTATATTCAAGATCCCTTCTAGCTCTAAAATGCTAGGATTCCTAATTAAATAAATATCCCCTCCCCCAAACCAAAAACACGTGATGCAATCATCTCAATATGTATTATGCAATACAGTCTGAAAATCTCAAGATTTTAAAAAGTTTATTATTTGGGTATGCCAGCTGAATACTATTTTGAAAATGTAGATAATATCATATACAAAATGGCAATATACAAAACTATACATTACCAGCAAATAATATATCTTTTGTTTTACAATAGAATTTTCATCTTTATAGGTTTTCATTTATTCAATATTTTAAAAAATTACATCTTAGTTTCTCTAACTTGGAACTATATGTGTAAATATGAAAAATAAACCAAGATAAATGACCCCAATTGTTTGTCTTCCAACCTCAACACCTAGAAGGCAGTGGTATCACAAATTCTTATTCCCTTACTAACCTACTCTCCTCCCACCACACACTCTTCCTCATTTATACTGCTTATAATGTTTAAACTACACTGTTTTTTTCCTAATCCCTGCTTAACATTTTCACCTATCCAATTCATTCTCCTACTTTCCTGTCCATTCTTTCCTCAAATGCATTTTGATTCATTTCCTCTCCCCTTCTATCACATTTTTTACTGTTCATTGTCATTCATCTTTCATTTTACTGTAATTTGTTTATCTTATAAATCTGCCACCCCATTAGACTATTTTTCTAAGGGTAGAACTATATATTATTTATCTTTGTATCTTCTGTACCCAGCATGATTTACAGAACTGCCTTGGTTTCCCTTTGAAAGATCATTAATCCCCTTTCTACACGCTGTTTCTATGAGATCGACTTTTTTAGATTGCACATATAAGTGAGATCATACAGTATTTGTCTTTCTGTGCCCGGCTTATTTCATTTAGCGTAATGTCCTCCAGGAATCTAAAAAAGTCAGTCTCAAAGCAACAGAGAGAAGAAAGGTGGTTACCACAGGCTGGGGAGGAGGGATAGATAAAGGGAAGATATTGATCAAAGGGTACAAAGTTTCAGTTAGAGTGGAGGAATATGTTTTAAGCATCTATTGCATTGCATGTTGACCACAGTTAATGATATCTATTTCAAAATTGCTAAATAAACAGATAAAATTTTAACGTTCTCACTACAAAAAATGACAAATTGGTGAGAGGATGGATATGTTAATTACCTTGATTGAGTCTTCCTACAAACTATACATAAATCAAAACATCATATTGGATTTTATATAAAAATATATAGTTACTATTTTCAATTAAAAATGAACAAAAAATCTAGGAAAAATATCACTAATAAATTTGAGATAGGTAATTTTTAAAGATCATAAATCCATAGTTTTCAACCCTGGCTGTACCTTAGAATCAGCTGAGGAATTTTAAAGCCATGCCTTGGTCCCCGTCTCAGAGTACTTAAATCAGAATCACTGAGAGTGGGGCACCAGTAGCTCTTTAAAGCTCCCCAAGTATTTCTAACGTCCAGCCAGAGTTGAGATCTACTTATACATGTGGCTGCCTGTGTTTGTAAATAAAGTTTTATTGAACATAGCCATACCCATTCATTTATGTACTGTATATGGTTGCCTTCATTCTACAAAGGCAAAACTGAGTAGTTGCAACAGAGACTATCTGGCCTGCTAAGGCTAAAATATTTACTATCTGGCCCTTTATTTTATTTAAAAAAAATTTTTTTTTGAAACAGAGTCTCACTGTGTTGTCTAGGCTAGAGTGCCATGGTGTCAGCCTAGCTCACAGCAACCTCAAACTCCTGGGCTCAAGCAATCCTTCTGCCTCAGCCTCCCGAGTAGCTGGGACTACAGGCAAGCACCACCATGCCCAGCTAATTTTTTCTATATATTTTTAGTTGGCCAATTAATTTCTTTGTATTTTTAGTAGAGATGGGGTCTCACTCTTGGTCAAGCTGGTCTTGAACTCCTGACCTTGAGCGATCTGCCTGCCTCGGCCTCCCAGAGTGCTAGGATTACAGGCGTGAGCCACCGCGCCCGGCCTGGCCCTTTATAGAATTAGAAATAGTTTGTTAGCCCCTGAAAAAGAGGCAAAAAAATCCTGTTACTGATCAAGATATAGGGGAGAAAATAGAGACTGCGGCTAAGGTTATGAGAAGTAAAACTGTTTTAAAGACTAAAAGGCATATTTTAAATATATGCTTATCAAGGCTATCATTTAAAAAATAATCTCTGTATCTATAATTACTTATTTGAAAGCATAAATAATTTTTCATATCTTAGAGAGTTTCCATTACGAAAATCTGGCCCTATGATTCTATATAACAGAGGTAGCATAGTGTTTGGTTCAGCTTCAGTGTTAATTTTTTAGTGGTTGCTTATCTACTGACTACATGCTATCTATGGTCCTGCTTTTCATATGTTTTTAAGGCTTAGAAGTAGCTATTAGTACCAGATACATTTCTAGATTTATCCACAGCCATGTAAAAACTGTGATTTAAATTAACTCTCTTTACACCAGAAAACAGTGTATCTAGTAGAAAGAACATTGGGCTAGGTATCAGGAAAACCAGTTTTTGATTTCCACTATGCCAGTGATTTAGTATTTGTCATGAACAAAGTGACTTACCTCATCTGTTATTGACAAAGAATGTCTTAATTCTTACTAAAGAATTTTGTCACCTGGATATACTTGGTTGTGGAATATAATTTATAATTTGGTAGACATAATAATACATGTTGTGAATTAGTTTCCTCCTGCCAACTTTTACTGCACCTTCTCAAATAAGCCACAATATCTCTATCAGTTTAATTTCTCATCTTTCTATAGCAAAGACTAAATGAAATAATGGGCTAAGTGTACCAAACTATCTAGGTAATGACTTCTTCATCTAGAAAGATCTGATCAATGCCTGCAAAATGCTTAACATTGTAATAAAGAATCATATGAGGCTTTCCCAAATAAATACACATTTAAGAAGACAATGAACAACCGCTAAATTTATCTGAATATTCTTTTAGTAATTAAACTCAATGGATTAACTGGGTAATTTAGAATACATAGAAATTCAGGTTCAGAATTAAAAAACAATTATAAGCCAAAAATAATACTTAAACTTGTTAAGTGATGTAATCTATAATTCTGAAAAATAAAAATGAAAAAAATCACATCTATATCTAAAAACAGCCATTTAATATATTAATTTTAAGCTCCTAAAATATTTGGGATGTCAAAATGGCAAACCTTTGATTTGAATACTAATTAGGAAAAGCCCTTTCAAGATTGCAGCAATGGGCAAAATTTGAATATTGACTATAAGTTTGTTACATATTAGTATTATATCAATTTAAAATTTCCTATTTTAGGTAATTATACTGTGATTATATAATAGAATGTTCTTGTTATTAGAAAATATGTACCGAAATATTATTGAAGTGTTTAGGGGTAAGAGGGTATATATGGTTACTACTTTCTCTCTAATTATTCAGAGGGAAATATATGTATCTATATATATGTGTATATATCTACACATTAGTGTGTGAGTGTATATATATATATAGAGAGAGAGAGAGAGAGAGAATGATAAAGCAAAGGTAAATGTTAGCAATTGTTGAATATGGGTGAACGGTGTATGGGAGTTCTTTACACTATTCTTTCAACTTTTATGTAAGTTTAAAATTATTTCAAAATAAAAAGTTAACAAAAGCACTTTCAAGATAGTACCTAGTAGTTACAGCAAAATATATTCATTATTAACTTAATATTATATGACAAAAACCACATAAATAAGTATATCCCAATTGGAGCTCATTCTTCAATCAACAATAAATATCTAAGATGATTTTTCTTAATAAATATAATAATAAATAGTTATTTTCTTAATAAATATAATAATAAATAGTTATATTTATTAAGTTATATGATTTCCAGAGAATTTTAATGATATAGGAATTTAAAGGTTTGTCAGTCTGTAACACTTTTAATAATTTTTATGGTCCTTTGCCTGATCTGGTACTTTGTAAATTTATATAAACAAAAATAGCCATAAGACAAGAAAGTCATTGAATACTTAACCCATTGTAGAAATTGGTTTGATCTCTGGATCCACAGGGAGAGGCTGCATCCTGAATGGATAACTCTTTTTAACAGAATAATCTTGGAGCAGAAGAACTAAACCAACCCGCAAACTTTTATACCATTCAGGACACAGGGCATTCCACATAATCACTGACACCGTGCCTGAATTGTCAGCAACTTCCAAAAAGGTCTAGAAAAAAAAAAGAGCAAGAGCACATACATATTTCTCACTTTTATCTATATAGATGACATATAGCATATTATCTGTGATAATTTAGACTGATAGAAAGTAACATTTAAATTTTAATTCATTATGGGTAATGATTCGGTTGTCAACTGTGCTGATATTGGTGATCTAAAGAAGAGATTGTTACCAGATTCATGGAAGTAACCAGATTTATTACTAACTTACTGTGTGATCGTAGACTCTGAGGACATAGGTCAAATCTTATTTATATTTGGCTCTCCCATAATGTTTAGCAGGGTGCCTTACAGAGTAATCCCACAATACATTTGTCAAATGAATGAGACAAGTCACATTTTAAAGGTTTTAAGTGAAGATCTTGACATCATTCTTGGTTACTTGACCTGTTAGAGGGCCTTGATATTCATTCATATTAGAGAACTTTAGATAAACCACAACTAATTGAGTACAATGCCATCAATGCCTGATTATATTAATTTACTTATAGTGATATCTAAGACTCTGGTATAAATGACATAGGAATTATTTCTGAGATACTACTTGAGAAATTATGCTAGCAGGAAGGGGAATGTTAACACCAGTATACATTATTGCTGAGTCTGGGTATAGTTAAAATAGAGAAATCTGTTGCAGCAGAAAGTATTTTATGGAGTTTTTCTAGGCTAGAGTGAGTGCTGTGGCATCAGCCTAGCTCACAGCAACCTCAAACTCCTGGGCTCAAGCAATCCTCCTGCCTCAGCCTCCTGAGTAGCTGGGACTACAGGCATCCGCCACCATGCCTGGCTAACTTTTTCTATATATATTAATTGGCCAATAAATTTCTTTCTATTTATAGTAGAGACAGGGTCTCGCTCTTGCTCAGGCTGGTTTCGATCTCTTGACCTTGAGCAATCCGCCCGCCTCGGCCTCCTGGAGAGCTAGGATTACAGGCGTGAGCCACCGCACCTCACCTCTCAGTTTTAAAATATAGACAGCTTTGGTTCTACATAAAAGGCAGTCTTCAAAATGTTCTCTAGCTCTTTTAGTTTCTTCTTAAACGCTGAGATCCTTTTTCTTACTGATGAATATATATTTTGGGTAGTTTATTCCTTTATTCATTAAACATTTACTGAGTCCCTATTATGTTCCAAATATTATGTTAGGCACTGGGATGAAGAGATGAATCAAGCCATCCCTAATAATAATAGCTAATATACCATGTTTCCCAGAAAATAAGATCTACCCATAAAATAAGCCCTAGCAGGATTTCCAAGCATTTGTGCAATATAAGCCCTACCCTGAAAATAAGACCTAGTGCTGGGCGTGGCTACGCAGCGTATCTGTACAACCCATGCATTTTGTCATGGAGCGGTAAAGAAGATGGGCAGCCCTTCTCATCTGCCCCCTGAGAGTTCTATTGCTCGACATGAGAGATTGGGGCCAATGGTTCTAAAGGAAATAGAGTCCCAAGAAATTCAGGATGGAATTCGGGGTTTGGAGAGTTATGATGATGTTCCAGAAGAAGACGACTTAACTATATTCGAATAAATGTAGACTGTTGTACTGTACTTAAAAAGATAACACATTCCCTGAAAATAAACCCTAGGGTATCTTCTTGAGGAAAAATAAATATAAGACCCTGTCTTATTTTCGGGAAAACATGGTATATATAGAACTTACTATGTGTCTGGAATATAGGTAAATGCTTTACCTGTATTAATTAATTCGATCCTTATATCAACCTTGTAAGATAAGTACAATTAGTACCCCCATTTTACAGATGAGTAAACTGAGGCTTAAAAAGGATAAATAATTTTCCTTACATCATAAATCTAAGAAATGGTAGAGAGAGAGAGCTGAGATTTGAACTCAGTTCATCTGACTACAAGGCATGTACTCTTAAGCACTATTACATACTTCTTCCCTACAGTCAGGGAGCTCACAGTAGAGTAAGGTTAGCAAATGTATTAACAAATATGTGTAACTGGATTATGCATGCTCTGACAGACCTAAGTTAGGGCATATAATGGAGTCCTGAGTAGCACACAGTTGATTCTCCTTGGTGACTACACATATGGTTATACATGGAAAGGCTTAAAGGAGAGGTAAGCATTGAACTGAACCTTAAAAGTGGCTTTGCTAATCTGATGAGAACTGAGAGGAAGAGCATTCCAGGCAGAAGAAACAACAGGAGCAGAGGCACAAAAGGTAGAAAAGAATTGGTTATTTTTAGGAAGTTCTAGGTAGGCCAATTCGGTTTGTATGAGGCATGGAGGGATCAGGAAGAGATGAGACTGGATGGGTCTTCCTGTACACAAAGAGTAAGAAGCGAAAGAAACAAGTAGAGTCAAAAATCTAGGGAGGAAAGTATCTCAACAATGAGAAAGCAAAAAACTATAGAGGGATGACTGAATAATGTATGATATCATGTGATAGAATCTAGAACTATGAAAAATAATGAAGAATTTTCAATGATGTGAGAAAATACTTAAAAAATATTAAATGATACTAAATTATATGCATATGTTCTTGTTTTATAGGATAATTTAATGTAATATATGACATACATAGTCACATGTAATATATAATACATATGCTCATATATGTGATATATAATAGACAAGATATGATAGATATATGTATAAATGATATGCATATATATGTGTGTGTATATATATATGATTTACACACACATAAGAAAGGGAATAAAACATATGTTAACAGTGGCTCTCTCTCAGTGGTAGGATCTTGGGTGATATTATGCTTTTTATACAGCTTTTTACATTTTCCAAATTCACTATAATAAGCATGTATAACGTTTATAATAAAAGCTTAGAAAACACCTAAAACAGTCTTGATAACATGGGAAAATATAGTATAATACTAAGTAAAAGCAGAACACATATCAAGAAAGTAGATCTCATCAGCATTATATGGCACAGAGAGTCAAGATAATAGAAAAGTGTCACATGGATTTGACAATCAGAAGGTTATTGGTGAATGATGAGCTGAAAAAAAAAGCCAAAGTTATTGTGTTGAGAAGTGGGAGGCAAGGAAGTGAAAACATCTAGTGTAAGCTACTTCTTCGAGAAGCTTTCTTGAAGAGAAGGAGAGAGGGAATAAAGGAATCACAAGGTCAACAGAATTTTTTTTTTCTTTTCTCTCTTTTTCTAAAATGGAAAATATAGTATGTTTATGTGGTGGTGTAGAAAGCATAGCTGAGAAGTAAAGGTTGAAGATAATGGAAAAGGTGTGAAGGAGGCCAGTTGGATCAGGAAACTGAAGGGCACCAATACAGAAAGGATTTCTTTTTCTACAATAAAGCATGTAGAAAATACTTTGCAAAAAAAAAAAAAATACTTTGCAATATATATTTATTTACATTTAAAAATTATTACATTGACCTTATAAAATGGTATTTAAACAAATATGTTATCATAATATGAAGTCATGTCTGTAAGTTATAATCTATAACTTTAAATTAACATATAATATCTTATCATTACTTATACCTGGTATGGCTCAATCATCTTTTTATCAGGTTTCCCATAGTATCGCAGTTTTGATTTATGCAAGATCCTCACAAGCAATGCAGGGAAACTTCTTCTGTTAGTCCAGGTCATTTCAAGGTGAGAAAGTGAAATTATTTTGGTATCTAAAATATAAAAAAGAGTAAAAATTCTATTTAATATGTCAAGGCAATTTCAAAGATCTATTTTAATGGTTATAAATGGTAGCCAGATCATACCCAAAGCAACTCCTCTTGCCAGCTAAACCACTCTATATACTTTTCCCACCTAAACTACATACCATCTGATATTGATAGCTAAAATATATAAAGGACTTACTATGTGCCTGGAACATAGGGAAATACCTATATTAACTAACACATACTTTCATCTAGAATGTCTTCCATCTTACCAAACCATTTAATTACTTCTTGGAAAACTTGGAACTGAACTCACCTTCCTTAAGACATTTTGTGGAAAAACTGGATGTCTTGGAATATTTTCCTACCACTAAGTACTTATGTGTTTAATTTATAGCATTGTTTTACGAGACATTTCTGTATTGTTCTCACCTCAGTTTCATATGTATAAGTTCCATCTTTCCCAAACATGCCAGACATGGACCTTTGTATTTGCTGTTCCCTCTGTCTGGAATGTCATTCCCTTAGATATCCAGGTTACTTTCTCCCCCTTCAAGTTTTGCTAAAAGGTCACTTTCTCAGTGATGTTATTGCTAACCACCCTATTGAAATCTGATCCCCCATCCCACTTTATTTTTCTACAGAGACTTACTATCTTCTCATATGCCATATAATTTACTTTGAAATGTTTTAATTTTCAAGCCTGCTGGCAAGCATAAAAACTGCTTAATAACTATTCATCATCTTAAAGGATTAATTTGTATTCCTGATTTTATTCTTCCTTGGATTAAAAGGGGTTCCATCTGTACTTCTCTCCACATTTTGCTCTCTCACAGCCCACAGTACCAATTTTTAAAACCTGACTTTGCATTAGTTCCAATATTTCTTTTGCTAAGGCACCTTTCACTTCTAACTTTGTTTACATGTTTTACCTAGTCAGCATTTTTGCATAAAAATCATACTTGTAATTTTTTTCTAATAAGAGCTTAAGTGGTATTTTATAATTATGCCTCTACCATAAAAACACACACACAATTTTCAGTATTATTAGGACAGCCTATATAATTTTCCTTCCAGGTCCTCCCAATACATTACTAGCTCAGGATCGCAGGTCCTAATATTTAATCTGATGTAATTAAGTGATTTCCTTTTTAATATAGTCAGATAAATCTCGGACCAGCTTTGAATTATCTGGAATGTACATGGAACACTCTTGATCAATGAAGGCATATACACCTCCTTTATACTGGCTGGAATAAATTCAAGAGCTACATGAGTTTGTAAAACCATATTTCTAAGAGCTACTATTTCTGCTATAATTAGGTCCAGAGAGTTAGCTGCGATCATACATCTGCCTGGTTTATATTTTTCCCAGTTTGAATTTTTAACTCACAAACTTCATAGAACACACATATATTGCTCAAATTCAAGAAGGAACTGCAGGCTATTTATAGATAATGAGGTATCTGTATAAATTCATAGCAATATATGTGTTCATTATTTAAAAAGAATGATAATAAATAAACTGGTTATTTAATACAAAAAGCCAGAAGGTAAGCAATGGAACACTGATTCTCAAATTTTTGGTCACAGGACCCATTTATATTCTTAAAATTGAGGATCTTGAAGAGCTTTTGTTTATGTGGGTTATGTCTATCAATATTTACTATATTACAAAACAAAAAATTTTTTTTAAATTTTTATTTATTTTTCCCCAAATTCTGTGAGTACAAATATTGTTAGGGTTACATATCTTTCCCCTGCCCCCCCTCCCCAACCCGCTCTGCCAGAGCTTCAAGCGTGTCCAGTCTTCAAAAATTTTTTTTAAAAATTATCAACTCATTTTAAAATAACAATAAACTAATATACATAATTATATTTTTAGAAAGATTACTATATTTTCCAAAACAAAAGAAATTTAGTGAGAAAAGTGGTACTGTTTTACATTTCTGCAAATCTCTTTAGTATCTAGCTAGATACTCGTATCTTCTTTGGCATCCTGTTTCATGTCTGTTTCAATGTCACAAGTCATGTAGTGTCTGGAAAACTTCACTGTGCACTTGTCAAAGAAAGAGTGAAAAAAGGTAAGTAAAGCATTATAATTGTGAAAATAGTTTTGACCTCATGAATACCCTGAGTATGTCTTGGAGATACCACCAGAGGTCCCTGGACCATACCTTAAAAACTGTTGCAAAAGAATAAATCTAAGGAATGCAGAAGGTATAAAGACAAAAGCTGAAAATAATGAATTAGAAAACACTATACCACAATAAAAAACTCAGTAGGACCGATAAATCCAATTCTTTGGAAAAAATTAATGAAAAGGTAAACTTTTGGCAAGTCCAATCATGAAAAAAGAAAACAAAAATGTAATATTCAGAATGTGATCAACTATACACAAAGAAAAATTGTTAAAAGATTATTATATATGATTCTACATCAATAAACTTGAAAATATCAGTGAAACAATCTTCTAGGAAAATATAAGTTACCGGTGTTGCCTTAAGAAGCAGTAAAAAACCAGAATAGTTCCTTAACCATGGAAGAAAATGAAAAAACTTCACAAATAATGGCCTCCAAAAATGGCAGCAGGTTCATATCATTTTACAAGAAAATTCTAACAACTTTCAAAGAATACTCTTTCCCTGAGCTATAAATTATCCAAGCCCGGTAAAATATATAAATTGTATCAATTCACTTTATAAACTTCGAATAATCCTGAAGAATCCCAATAGAAATACTATAAAAGAGAAATCTATAAACCCAAATCATTTATGATGGCAAAAAGCTTTTTTTTTTATGGCAAAAATCTTAAATCAAATACTTTCAAATCTAATACAATAACATGCCAAAAGACAACCATGCCATGACCAAGTAGAGTTCTAAACATTTGTAGGGGGATATTATAAATTCTGAATAATTTTGGAGACTGACACAGACACATAAGTTTAAATAATCCTGTTAAAACATTAAGTGTAACCACAAGGAGACTACAGACATAATATATAACCTCCAAATTACTAGAAGAAAAAAAATATTTTAATCCTGCAAAAGTAAAAAAAATAAAGGATGGCATATAGTAAACATAAAGCAGGATTTCAATAACAGGTGCAAACATCATTATTCACATTAAATTTAACTGAATTAAATTCATCTCTTAAAAAGAATTGGTTTGGGTCAAAAAGCAGAATGTAAGTTATATTCTTCTTAAAAAAGAAAAATCTACAACAAAATGGAAATAAAGGGATGGACAAAGATACACACTAGGCTAATGGTTCTCAAAGTGTGGTCTTTGCATCAGCAGCAGCATCACCACTATTGAACTTGTAAGTAATGCAAATTCTAGGGCACTGCCCCAGACCTAATGAATCAGAAACTGGAGCAGGTGCTCAGCAATGTGTATTTTAAAATGCTCCTGAGGTGTATGAACACCCACTCACTTTTGAGAACCACTGCCCTAAGTGCTACCAAAAAGAAGTGGTAAACATTATCATCTGATAAAACAGAATTCAAGACAAAAAGGGACAAAGAGGCAAACTCCATATTGATAAAGGGTAAAATCCACCAAGATATTAATCAGTTACAAAATTTTATACATTATAGCAACATCTAAAGCAAAAGCTTTTAGAAATATAAGGAGAATTGGATAAAACTATCATCATAGAGAAAAGTCAATATTCCTTTCACAGAAATAGGCAAACAGATTAAAAATTAGAATATAGAATATTTGAATTAGATTTTAAAAACCTAGTATAATAAGGAGCTCTAGATCTAATAAATAAGCTTTTTCTAAACTTTTGGAGGTTAAAGAGAAATTCCAATTTAAAATAAAAAATTTTGAGTAATGAATAATAATAAAATCTCTATACTTCAAAATCTGGGAGTGCAGTTACAGCAGTCAGCACCCAAGGGAGATTTCAGAATTTTAAAAGCTTCTGGAAGCAATACACAAGTAAATAAATGAATGAAGCATTCAACTGAAGAAAGTAGTACAAGAAAAATATGAACGAAGGAAGTACACATATGGAATTAAAGATGATAGCAGATATCAAGTAGAAAATATTTCCTTACTACAGATTTCATTATTAGTAAAGCCAAGAGTCATTTATAAAATAACAATAAAACAGGCAAACCTATGGCGAGGCTGGATCATGAGGAAAGGTGAACATATAAACATTAAGACTGTGAAAGGAGACATAACTGATAAGATATTAAAAATATAGACTACTGTATGCAACTTTGAGATCTAGGAGAAATGAGATTTTCTAGTGAAATATCAACTGTCAGAAAAGGACTCAAGAAGCAACATTATTGGTTTGATCACTTTCTCTACAAAAAAATTGAAAAGGAGTTACTGTCATCATCCCCAATCCCAGTCCAAGATATCAGGTTCGGATAGTTTTAGGGGTAAATTCTATCAAACCTTCAATAAGCAGAAAATATCTGAAAGCACAGAAAAACAGGCAAGCTTCCCAATTCATTCTACTAGGTTAATATTAACCTGATATTAAAATGTCACTGAAAAAGTATTCCCCCAAAAAAACCCCAAAATGAAACCTATGTACCAAATTCACTTAAATATACAGATATAAAAATATAACCATGACCAAGCGGGGATTCAAAAGTGGTTGAACAACATAAAATCCATCAGCTTATTTCATTTATTCCCTTATTCAACACTTACTGAATGCCTACTATGTGCCAGACATTGTTCTGGCTATAGGGGATCCGACCCACAGCAGTGAAGAAAAAAGTCCTTGATCTTATAAAACAGGTAAGGGGAGAAGGAAAAATAACCAAATAAAATAATCCCAAAGTGTTATGATTCCATGAAGGGCATCTCCAGGGTGATATAATAGAAATATATGGGAAGGGAATACTTATTTAAAAAGCCCTTTCTAATGTGTTTTATATATTTGGACTGAAACCTGAGGGAGGGAAGAAACTATCCAAAAAGATGAAAAAGCAGGTGCAAAGTACCTGAGGCAGGAAAAAGCCTTAGGTTTTTCCTGAGGTTTGAGGATCAAAAAGAAGGCTGGGATTGCTCGAATAAAATGGTGGAAGAGAGGGGCTAGAGATGAGGTTATAGAGGTGAGTAGGGGTTCTATAGGGCAGGGGTCAGCAAATTATGATTCATAAGCCAAATCCAGTCTGTTGCCTGTTTTCTGGTAAATAAATTCTACCAGAACATAGTCAGACTCATTCATTTACATATTGTCTATACAATAGCAAAATTGAATAATTGTGACAGAGATTATATGTCCCACACAGACAAAAAGATTTACTATTTGGCTCTTCACAGAAAGCTTGCCAATCTCTACTGCAGGGCCGTGTGGACCTATGACTTGCTGTTTAAATGAAATGGAGAGCCACTGGAGAGACTTAGGCAGGAGAGTGGCATGATATAACTTCCAGTTTTAAAATGTCATCTCTGAGGTCACAATATGTGTGAACTTTTGGGTAGGGTGCTGACTGTGAGGAGGCATGAAGGAGTCTTTTGGGGTGATTGAAATGTGCTATATCATATATATATATATATATATATATATATATTAACCGGGGTGGTTACACAAGTGTGAATATAAAATTTATCAAACTGTATTTTTAAGATCTTTTTACTTTACTGTGTATAAGGTAAACCTTAATAACAAGTTTCAAAAGCACAAAAACATACCATAAACAAATTTAAGGGAAAAGGAACCAAATGCAAGAAAATAATCTGCAGTACGTAGTAGACAAAAATTTAATACGCATTGGCAAAGAAATCTGATAAATTAACTAGAAAAAGTCAAAAGATGTAATTTAAAATAGTAAGATATGGGGAAATGGACACTGTGATATATATGTTGGTGAATATAAATTAGTACAATATTTTCAGAAGATCACTTGTCAACATCCACTAATTAAAAAATTCAAATACCCTTTAACCCAGCAATTTCATTGCTAGTAATCCATTTACCAGAAATACTTGAATATAGTGAACAAAAATATGTGTACATCCTAATGATGTTTAGCATTGTATTTAATACTGAAAACTTAATGACTGCCTAAAACTACAAATTACTCATTCACATGGGTATGATTACATAAATTACAGTTGTATCCAGACTATGGAATATTTTATGTACAGTTATACATAAAAGATGCTTGAAATATGTTTAATGGAAATAGTAAATTACACAATGCTATATAATTCATTTTTTTCAAAAATACACACCAAATTGCTGACAATTTGGAGTTTTGAAAGGAAAGTTGAAGGCTTGAGGGAAGGTGAAAGAGGTCTTTCACTCCACCCCAATATTTTATTATTAACAGTTTCAAACATCCAGCAAACCTGAAAGAATTTTACAGCAAATATCAATGTACACACTTCCTAGATTTTACCACCACCGTTTTACTATACTTGGGTCTTACACTTTTAACACAATATATATTCTTTTAAATATACAGTTTGGATCTTTTTATGGCACATGGATATCAGCTTTTGTAATAAAAATGATTTTGATAAATGAATAGATATTACTTTGATAGAATACAACCAAAATACACTTTTACAAAGTATTATCCCCTTCTTAATTCTTCTTTTAGGGCACTGATTTTTCATTTACATATTCAGTTCTAAAAATAGAAATGATCAGCATTTATCGTAATGCGCTACTGTCTTATTCCATGCTCAAGATAAAATTATTCCATTATTTCAACCCCAAATAACTATCTTGCTTGTAAAATTTAGTTATTTAAAACATCCTTGGCTACATATGTCTACAACATCTTTTTTTCCTTATGACTACATATGACTATAATTGCATATTTTTGAGCCAGTTGTCATCACTTTCAAATTTGTTGTTCTTACACGTCAGAGTTAGATTATCTATGATTTAGCATTGTGATGACAACATAAAAATAAAGGACTGAAAAGCAGTAGATGTAGAAAATTATAAGAAAATTATAATCTTTCTCCTTGCAGTACTTTCTCTTTTATTTTTTGCATTTTACTTATTCCCCATTCCATACATGTTCATGCCTATAGTACTATTATTCCCCTTAATTCCGTCTTTTATAGAAAAAACACTTTAGAGCAGTTGCTGGTGACTAGCTAGCATTTTCAGGTCAACTTTCTACTTCTGATACAGAAAATTTGAACTTCTCAGATCAGTACTGTCCGTGGTAAGCAATAAGAAACACGAAGATGAGAATTCCACGCCTTCCCACAAACTTACATATTCAAAAAGTGATATTTACATAACTATAACACTCAAAGACATAAAAGTGACATTTTGAACAATGTTAATTATTGAGGAATACATCACAGAACATCCTTTTTGAGTGAGCACGCAAACTCGCAAATTTTTACAACTCTTATGCTAAATTCAAATCTATAAGCTCTTCAACCGACACAATGTACTATTTTCTCAACCGGAATGGGAACGAAATTAAGATTAATTCCACCGTAGTCAAACGTATAACGAACGCCTGAAGAATACTGAATTCCAGATCACTACGTTTGGCAGACTGAATTTAAGATATAGTCTGACACTTCTTGAATTGGCCACTTTTGCAATCAAACCAAGACATGGGGCTGTGCAAATTTCATTAAGCGGGAGTCCTGTCCTTCAGTCATTCAAGAAAACTTGTCCACTACCACTCCTGGCTTATACAAAAGCAACTCGTTTCCTTTCCCGTTAACACAAGCTCCTGAAAATCATTTTTTAAAAACCCTCCGTCATTCCCTCCAAATACTTACCGCTAAAATTGTGTTCCTCAGGTTGCTTGTTGGTTAACCAGATATCTCCATATGGATCTTCGTTATTCCACAGCGCCAGGTAATGACTCTTCCCGCCCCTTAAAGGCCTCTCTGGTTTCTCCCCGTGCGCCCTATTTCTAAAGGGAGTTTCTAAAGAAATCGTGTCTGAGGTCTCCCCACAGTGGACATTATCTATGCACAGGATCCCCTGGCCTAACCTTTTCTCGTTGTAAAGACAAGAGACTCTGGAGATTTTCATTTCTATGCCAACTTTAAGAATATTCTGATGGACGAGAGAGTTTAAGCTGGGGTCCAGGTAGCACTTCTCCCGGTACACCCCGTCTGAGATCGTCACATCATAGCAGTAAAGAGGAGGCTTGGGCACCGTGTCCCGCGGCTCATCCTCTAACAGGTACCTTTGGACGGCTAGCACAGAGACAGGCACTACCTCAGAGGGGGTGACCCACTGGCGAGGTGAGCCGATTATCTGGTCAAGAACCGTTTGGATCCAGGACCTGGGCGCTTGGGCACCAGCCCTTCGTATCACCCCTCCGGGGACCCCAGCCCGATTTCTCTCAAGGTTCGGCAAATCTAGCCCAGCATGTGAGGGACCAGCCTGAGGCTGGCCTGACTCACCGGACATTGTTGGGTAACTGCTGCGTACCCTCTTCACTCCTAAAAGCTAGCCTGCCCCGCGCAAAGCTAAGAGAAAATAAACCGCGCGCTTTGGCGACGATCTCTACTCTGCCCCTGCTGACCAGCGAGGCTCCGCCCCGTAGCGAGGCTGCAAAGGTATTGCGCGTGCGCGGCCCAGATCTCCCGCCCCTCACTTGGCGCGCTGCAGACGCCAAGGCACTGTTACTAGGCAGGCACACGCGCCAGTTACGTAGCAGGTCGTTGGACCTCGTGCCAGCGGGATTGCCGTCTGAGGGAGGGCTGTCAAAGGAGGGGGAGGAGGGAAGCGGTGGTCGTCACGGTTGCCGAAGCTGGGGGAGGAGCGTACCCCGCTCTCTTTGGAGGAGGATGCCCAGAGGCAAGGGAAAAGGGAAAGTGACAGGAAGCCGGGTGCAGGGAGTCATACCTGAGAAGCTTGGGGATTTGGGCCTTGGGCCAACAACAGAAAGTAATTTAGAGTTGGTTAATATACATTAATGTGATTACATGAGTCTCCTGTAGTATGAACAAAACCAGATAATGTATGCACAGCCTTCAGGACAGTCCCTGGCACAAAAAGTCCTCAATAAACGTTAGCTGCTATTGCTATTAGCATTAGCATAATTGTCTGTAGTGGCTCCCTGAGTGCAGGGTGGGTGAATTAGTGATTAAGTGCAAATGAATATAGAAAATTGCAGAATTGGCTTGGTTAAGAGCTGTCTTTAGATTAGACTTCTTAAAATGCACATATATATATATATATAATTCCTGGCTTAACTACAGCTAGGATATAGAATTTCAGAAACTGCATTTCTTTACTACAAGGCATATATCAGGAATGAATGTAAAGTGAAAAGGCTGATAAGAATAGTAAAAATTAAGGATAAATATTTACTAGATGTACCCAGATGTGCTAGTATACATAGAATGTAGTAATTATCCTAAGAATACTTTTGAAAATGATAATGAGCTAATTTTTAAAATATTAATTCCCCTTGGCTCTCTATTTTATTCTTTATTCACTGTCTATGAAGTCCCTACTATGAAGCGGGCACTGTTTTAGACCACTGGGAATAACTGTAGTCAGGTTCTTTGAGTCAAGTTTCTTCTCATTGTTTGGGCTAAAGAACCCTGCCATTATTAATACTTAATTCACTCATTCTACATATATTTCTTGAGTGTCTGGTCTGGGCAAGGTACAGTCTTGCTATGGAGACCCAAAAACATAGTGAGGAAAAAAGGAGTGGAGGGGGCAGGAGTTAATATTTTGTAGAGCATGATTAGGGAAAGGCTCTCCAATAAGAGATTGAGTAGAGTAGAAATTTGCAGAAAGTGAGGAAATGAGCTATGTGGATATCTGGAGGAATGATACTTGAATTAGAAAGAACAGCAAGAGTAGATTCCATGAGAGCATACCTGATATTTTCAAGGAAAGAAATGCAAAAGCCAGTCAGCTGCAGTGGAGGAGTGAGGGAAAGGGTGGTAGAAAATGAGGTCAGAGAGGTAGCAGGGTTTCTTCTATTTTGAGGAAAGGATTGACATGCTGCTTCAGCTTGAGCTCCACTTCCTTCATGATGCCTCCCCTAACCAAGTCAGTCCAAAATAATCTTTCTGTTCTCTGTATCACTTTGTATGTATCACTCATTTAACATTTATCACCTAATACCTTGCAATTAATAAAAACTTTTAATGTATGCATCCTATCTCTCTAACTCAGAGTTTCTCAAACTGGGCACTCTTGATATTTTTAGGCCAAAAAATTGTTGCACTGTAGGATATTTAGTAGCATCTGTGGTCTCTACCCACTAGATACCTGTAGCACCTCCCCCTCCAGTTCTGACAAACAAAAATATCTCCAGACATTGTCAAATGTCCCTGAGGGGGAAAAGTGCACCCAATTGGGACATCTGATTGAGATCGGATTTAACTAGATTGTAAAACTTTTGAGAGCAGAAACTGATTTGTTCTTTTTTTGTTTCTTATAGTTTTTTTCACTACTGCTATGCATAAAAGACACTCAAATATTTTAAATAAGTGAAACATAATTCCCACTGACTCTCTACCAAAGGGAATATACAAGTATGGTTTTTCATAAATAAACAAATACAACATACAAAAATTCAAACTTACAAAACTTAAAATAAGTTTCTTGAGTACAGGTACCAGTGGCAAAATCAGTATCTAGTATATAGTAGGTGTTCAATAGTAATTGTTGAATGAATAAATGAAATTATGGATTTTTATTGGATTTACTGTAGGGATCATTAAATATCAACTATCTCTGTTCTTTGGCCAAGAAGAACTTGTTTGAGAATGGAAAAACAAGCACTACATGTACTCACCACCAAATTTGTATTAACAGATCAAAACCTAAGTGGACATATAGGAATAACATCTATCGGGTGTTGAGCAGGTGGGAGGGTCAAGGAGGGGATGGGTATATACAAACATAATGAGTGAGATGTGCAACATTTGGGGGATGGTCACGCTTGAAGCTCTGACTCGAGGGGGGAGGAGGGGCATGGGCAATATATGTAACCTTAACATTTGTATCCCCAAAATATGCTGAAATTAAAAAAAAGAATTTGTTTGAAATATTTCAAATCTGCTCCATCAGCACCCCCTAAACTATACACTCAGTGAAATTTATGCATAACAGTATTGTATCATCACTTTCTGTGTCCTTGCAGCTAATTCACGAAAGATGGATATTAGCAGTGGTAGTTAGTAGTTGGATAATGAAGAACTAGCACTCATGTTTGTTTTTACATTACTACTCACAGTGAACAAATACAATGACTATGGGTACACGCTTGGAGTCTTTTGTGTTATTCTACTGACAATCTGCTGGTAGTGTGTATCTCCCTCAAAATTAAGGTGTCTACTTGAATAGAAGTCACACCTATGGAAGTACAACTGCTTTCTGATGTGGCACTACTAAGTACCTGTTTTAGGATCAATTTCACAATAATAGAATAAGTGAGGGAAATGACTTTCAAAGCCAGTATTGGGAATCATTCAGGTTATTGATCTTTTTCTCACCTCAGATCTGAAAGGTTTGTTATAGTGCCTCCAGAGCTTAAAATGGTAAAAGCAGACAAGACAATATTTTATAAAATGGAAATGTTCTAAGATATTCAAAAACACTTTAAATATATCATGAAATTTATTTTGGTAGTCCACTGAATTTGGTGCAGATTATAAATCACATTGGTATTCCTCATCTTTAAAATTGACCGATAAAAAGTAGTCACCGTTGTTGAAAAATTAAGTTAGTTCATATGAGTTGAGTGCTTAAAACAGTGCCTGCCACATAGTAAGAGTTCATATTTACTAGCTATTGTTGCTGTTATCCTAAAAGGAAGATAAATGCATAACACAAAATCATAGAATGCTAGAACCATAGGGAGACATTAGATACCCATTAGTTCGGTGTTCTTCAATCTGTGAACTGTGAAGCACTAATGAGGTTATGAGGTCAATTTATTAGGTCACAACCAACAATTAAAAATATGTAAAAGAATGGAACAAAAAATATCAAGAGTGCATTGTACATAATAAAGATAAGTATTGCTTTGTAAAATTTTTGTTTCAGATTTGTTGGTGTGTATATATATATATATATATATATGTATGTATATATGTATGTATATTGGGTCATGATGTAAAATGTATTTCTTACTATAGGCTGTGGCCAAAAACGTTTAAAAGCAACTGTTATAGTTCAAGCCTCTCCTATTACAAAAGAAGAAACTCAGGCCCAGAAAGGGGGACTTACATGAACAAGATCACACAGTGATAAGTGGCAGAGCATTACAACTACTAGCCATGCCTCCTGATTATCAAGCCTTAAAAAAAAAAAAAAAAAGGCTTTCCACAACATTGGGTAGGACAGATCCTGCATTATCCTGCAGATATATCAAATTTTTGCTTGAAGAACCTCGTTTGGGTCTATCCTCTCATTCATTTGACTATCCTTTCATTCATTTGCCTGAGTTAGGCAAATTAACATCATTCCCCGGCCTTGGGTATTGGAGATACACATGTAGGTTCATCAAATTTGTAAGATTATGAGAGTGTAGGTGGAGATGTGGGGGAGGTAGAAAAAAAAAAGTAGCACGACTAGTTGGTGCTAAAAGGATGTGGAGAGTTCAGAAGCTGTCTCAAAGAGTATTTAGGTAAGCTCTCCAAACATCACCACGGTAACAAGAGAGGGCCTGAGGGTGGCTGCCTGGCAACCAGAGCACTACAACCTCCAGCTCAGTGCTGCCCTTTTCCAACATCTTTCCCTTTTAAGGCTGCTCTTGATGATTTTATTAACTAAATTGCCTCTATATATGAGGATAGATCTGTATAGCTTATTATACTGCTTAGCATATTGGAATCAAGGTTGTTCCTATGTTACCTTTCTATCAGATGTCGAATGTGGCTTGATTTATATATTTGGAGTGCACAGATAGAAATCTTTAACACAGACTATTACAGTGGTTCTAGACTCCTTTTGTCTCTCAGTGTCTCAAACAAATGCTCATATTTGTCCTCATGTTTTTGCTTATCCTGAGCACATATTAGATGCACCATAAATGGTTAATTGATGTTCGCCTTTCCTTTCCGTCTATCCAAATCCTACTTGTATTTTTCATAAAGATCTAAGTGTGTTTGCTTTACTTCTGAGTCTTAATATTATATATCTGTAAGGAACTTGGATTTTTGAATATAGATTTGCTTATTTTCAATTTGTTAGGTCTTTCTTTTCCCTGGCTACCAGAGAAAAGGGGACTGCCAGTAAACTCCTGGGATTCCACAAATTAACTTATTCCCTCTTATCCTCATTTGTCATCCTAGTATGATGTGTCTAGCATGCTTCAATGCTTATATTACTCCTCTCAAGAATTTCTGTTTGTTAAAATGTGTGGCTAAAATTTGATGACACTTTGGAAATCTGAATACCAGTGCGTATCCTGGGTTGCTGTACATGAAATAGAATCAGACCAGAAAGTTGGTTTTCAGTAGGCTATTTATCTAAAGATATCTGTACTAGTTTTTTAAAAATGATAGCTTTATTGAAATATAATTCACAGACCATACAATTTTCCCATTTAAAATGGAAAATTCAGTTGTTTATAGTATAT